GGATCGAAAGCAACGAGCTATCACTCGCGCTTGACAAAGAATGCTTCATCTCTGAAGATGAAGGTGTTAAAGAAAGTTGGGAAGAAGAGGGGGGGGAACACGCAAGGGAAGTAGATGGAGATGGAGAAATGTGAGGGAAAGCAGGCCTGGATTCAGGCAAGGACTGAGAAAAGCGAACATTATTCATGTTACCAGAACAGAAATTGGAAATAAGAGATGGGACAAGGCAGTACTTGGTGTCATCTTTGAATTTTAATGACTGATGAGAGAGATAAAGAGAAGAGTGATGATCTGGCGTGGCCAGATTGCTAGGAATTGATCCAGTCGAATCGACTCGGATCATGCCCATTCCTCCGCACAAAGATTCAGTTGTTGTTGTTCGGCACATCTCAACCGCAGTGGTTGAGTTGGACCTCGTATAGTTTTGATTTCGAGGAGGAACCAATCCCTGCGAGTTGGTGGGATACTCCCATTTCTCGTCATCGAAGAGCGGGGAGCATTCGGGGTCGGGAGACTCAAACATGAATGGTGAATCGGGAACAACATCCTGGGATTGTTGTCGGGCATACTCCATAGGTGAGAAATCGTGGATTTCGTTCATGTTGAGTTGTTGTGTCTGGAAGGTGGAATATTGTCGTTCGAGCGTTAAGGCTGGCTGGGAAACGGGGATTGCGACCGAAACTGCCTGAGAGACGGGCGATGTGGTGGTCAGAACCATCCCAGCTTTTTGGCGAGGAGAGGTTCCATTCCATGATTTTGTCGATAGATGGCGGTTCATATGAAGGGGAGAAGGGGATATGCGTTGGGAGTCTGGCCGAGTTACATCAACGACGGTGGATGATTCCGGAGTCTGTAGCCTCTGTTAATCCAGGAAACGGAAGACACAATAGGTATGGACAAGTGAAGGACACGAAACCAAAGGATAGAGACCTACGGTGGCTCGTCGCTTGGATGGGGGTGATCCATTGGGAATTGTGCGTGGTACCTTTTCTCGGGACCTTTTGCCAAAAGCATCTGGAGTTCCATTCGCTCTGGGGGTTTCGAGGAAGTTGTTGTCATGAGTGGAATTCGGTTGTGGAATGAAAGAGGAGAGGAGTTGACTCCAGCGATGTTCCCGTTCCGACTCCAGGAGGTGTGCATTGTCGGCCCAAAAGACATTCCTGGAGGAGGTGAGCGCTGATGTGAACAGATTGTCGTCGAAGGTGGGAGCCATTGGGGGTGTTGAGCTTTGTCACCAAATATTATCCTGGTGGTATCTGTCCGACCTGGCCTTTGGACTTCCTCTCGAAGTACTGATACGAGAATTCTGGGGCGTAAATGTGAATCTGCTTGAATTAGTATTAGATCTTGACTCAGGATATCGATATGCAGATACAATAACGGTTGTAACAGGTATATGGATTTTGAGAACAAACCTTTGGGACGCTGAAGCGTTGGTGAAGTTTGACTGTAAACCGTTAAACTGATATGCATCAAGGTGTTCCTGAGGGACATGTAAGAAGGGAGGGAATGAGAAAAAGAATTGGGGGGGGGAGGAGAGAGGAATGTGAGATATAAGATGGGGAGAATCTACTAACTCGATTGGGTGGGCAACTGACCACGAACAGTCTGCATCCAATACGAGATATGAACGATGGATGGAGAGTGAGATCCCAAAGAAATTCGTGGATCAGGTAAACTCGCAGGACCAATGGGGATGCCCATGTCAAGTGTGTTGTTATCTCGAGCGGACCGAATCACTGTAGTCAGGGTTTGAACTAGTTTCTCGTATCAGTCGTATCGAGACTTGATTTGCTTAGAGCTTTGGATCCCGAGCAAGAGTACGGAGAAATACAACCTTGTCCGAGTTTTTTGCGTCTGCAAAGTCGACTCGTAACGGCTGAACTAAACTAGCTAAGGGATATGAGGGGTTTGGAGGGGGGGGGGGGTAACCCTTGTTTGATCTTTCATTATTGAGTCTTTGTTGCCCAAGCCTGCTGGAAGCCTGGCGGTGAAAAAGCGCCTAGGATCCTGGAAGGTTGTGAGGACACCTCTTTTGCCCTAACCAGAGTCGGAATAATTCAGTATTCTCTTGCATGCCTGGCTGAGTGCTTGGGGCGTATCAAAATCTCTCATCATCCTGGTGGTCAAGCCGGATACTTTGAGAACTGCATTTGTGAAAGTGAGGCGACCAAACGGCATCAACTCATTCTGATCTTTCTGCAAAATCGGGCAACACATGAAATGCAAATGAGACTTGGCATTTTGACCGGTGGATTTGGAATATCTGGATGGAATAAAAGTAGAGTGCCTTTACTCTCTCCTTTTTGCTGCCGTCAAAGTCAAGTTCACTGCAATTATCAAGAAGCTTCGCCTTCTGGATAATCTCCCCGTGATCACGAGGATCTCTGAATTGCATCCCTCTTTTATATCATTCAGAAAGCTGAAAGCCTCGGATCCCGCTTTCTATCCGTCGTTTTTTCATTCCTGCCTCGTCACTCTCGTCCGTGTGCGGTCATCATTAAATTTAGCCCACTTATGTTGCGAATTAGCGAAGTCTGCTCCAGCCTAACATATGTGGACTCCTTTGTCATCACTCTTCTATCGATGGGCATATTTGTGGCAGCAAATCCGTCGCTGTAAGAGTTGGAGACAAAAATATGTGCCAGTCGCATAAAATGCACATTTCTCCTGAATGTCATTCTGGCTACGTTGTCAACTTTCGCGTGTCTTCTCACCTCATGGTGGCCCAAAGGCAGCTGGTCTCCGGGGAGAGACCCCCGAGAACCAGCTGGTGGATTGCAATGTCACCACGCGCGGGGATACGAGGAAACCTCTGGATCCGTGCCCTTGCATGAATGATTACACCTCGTTTGTCGTGGGCACTGGGGTCCATGGAGTATCATGCGAGACTTAATGTTACTGGATCAGAGTCTGCCACGTAGGCGGGCCATGCAGTGTTTCGGTGACAGGCCAATCTCGGAAGAATTGCCAGCCAGTCGCAGCTCTAGGGAACATTAATCAATCCATTGAACACAGTGTTCAGAATAGCATCTTGAGGGGCGACAAATCATTCACCCATATCTCTCTTATTTTTGAGTGAAGATGAAAAGAGTAATAAGTCAGCAGGAGGATGACAAAATGAGTTGAAGAGTTGTAAGATTGACAAAGGTTTGTTAGCACAAGGAAAGTTGCTGGTTATGTTAGAAAAGATCAGGAGTGGTTTTGTGTGCAACATTCTTAAACAAACAGTACCTAATTAATCCATGTGCCTGCTGTATAAATATATCCATATGTACTACACATCGGATGAAAACAAATAATCAACAATATCTATACATGGAGGCAAGCAGGGGATACCAAAATTTTGAGTCATTTTAGCATTTCTAGATGGATCTTTGAAGTTGCTGCTCAGTGACAGTGGTTGTTTTTTCATTAAATACTGCTGTAACTTCAAAACTTTTTCCGATGGGCTCTCTCAAATCTTCAATTTCATTCATCAACTACCCTTCTGCAGTTCTACATAATACGGCAAGGGTTTTCTACATACAAAACTCCTCAGCTGTCAAGCCCAAAATTGAAGACAATCGAGAGAGATTGCAACTTTGATCCGATCTCATTTACAGAGTAGAAACAACCCCACATCCTTCATTTCTTGCTCTATCCGGAATACTTTCCTGCTTCTCAGAATGATGATATCCATTGATTGATACTAACACCAATATACCAGCGTATTTGAACACAATAACGAAAACAGGCCAGGCCGTAGAAGCCAAGCAGGCATAACTAAATATGTTGTCGTTATTACGTTGGAGGACAGCAAGCAGGTTGTCATTCAATCCCACCCGTTAGATCTTGCGCGAGGCAGGTTCTTGGTCATATTGTTCCTGACATGGATCTATTTAAAGACGAAGAGTTAGTTGAGCATATCTGGACGTAGTGGATGAATCGCATCGCGGGCGAGTAATGTCTCAATGGCATTAGCCAGCGGAGCCACAAAGAGCCATTGTCACCATCAACAAATCACTCAGCGGAATTCTACCTCAGGGCTATGTTAAAAGCAATACGCAACAAAGTGACGTCCAGCCATTTCAGGAGGTGGCTCAAGAATTCTTGAGTGAGCTGGGCCAATTAAAGAGACTCTCACTCTTTATATCCCACTTCAACAGCAACGACTTAAGCATCTGTTCGACGAGAACTATCGGGTAACTAACTATCCTAACGCTCGCCAGCGAATTCTCCGACGGCAAGTTCAACATGCCAGACGAATTTGAAGAACTCGAGAGGGGTGTCTGGGAAACGATCTTTAAGGGAGTCTCCACAGCTCTTGGGGATCTCAAGGCGAACATAGACACGGTCCAGATGAGCGTTAACTACCCGTAGCGGGTTCGGCCTTGCAGAAATTCCTCTCCTATTGCAATCTTTTGCCCAGGGTTTCGGATCCACATCGTGCAAAGTAAGTGTAACGTAGTAGACACTCAGGGATGTTTACATGAATGTCAAAGCTGGCTCTCAATCTGGATATAATAAATGTTATAAGAGGGTATAAGCCTAAGGGCGTCTAATGCTTTATATACTCAGGGTGAGCTTTTTAGGGTGAAGTTGCGTGCAGATTTAGATCTCAAACGCTATCAAGATAACGTTACTGAGTCCAGCTCAAGCAGCGCGAATGCAATTAAAAGTTAATCTCTCCATACTTGTAATGGTCCCTTGTTTCGGTCGATTATCACTCTTCAAAACTAAATTCTACAGTGAAATAACTAAGCGATTAAATTCTATAGGTTGTTCTCTGGTAATGTCATCATAGAGTTACTTCTAATCTACTTTGAGTGTTGCATCAAGAAGATCATTTTGTAATACATCATATATCTCAAATTTTTAACCAACAAGTTATGATGAAAGTTTTAAATATTATATCACATATATTGCAGATAATAACTTACCAAGAAAAATAAAACATCATCATTTATGTTTTATAATGTAGGTTGTACAACTAAAATGAGTGTTTACAGAGTTCACCAGTCAAAGTTCATTAAGCCTCTCAACGTCACTCCTGACCCGCACTTCTCTGATATACACGACGGTCACATAGAGCAACTAACTGTGTCTGCTGTTCCTGCAATATTGATTTCATTTTTTATTGTGCAGTTTTACCAACACTTCCCCCACCACATATTTTACGTCCAACAGAATAAGCCTACATACACTAAGGTTACGTGTTCCCGCCCTGCCATGGCCGACTCTGACCCCAAATCCTACGACGATGACCCCACCACGCTCTACCTCTATACCTCCCTGACTGCGGGCTCCTCACACATAGTCACAGCAACGTCGCGAGTGGAAACGATCCTGAATGCCAACAAGATCCCATTTCGGGGTATCGACGTTGCAACAGATGAGCCAGCCCGCAACCTCTGGGGCAGACGTTCAAAAGGGAAGAAACTCCCTGCGTTGGTCAGGGATGGGATGGTAATCGCTGTGAGCAGATGCACCTACATACGCGCGTCAAACGTATCCATTTATGGGCGAGGGGATATTCTGGCTAACAATTACTTAGGATTTAGATCAGATTGAAGAGTGGAATGAATATGGGGAGATCAAGATGCAGCTTGGGAGCGTGCCCTCAAAATCAACAACTTCTCATCTTACAGCCCCAATGACAACAAACACAAGCATGGCAATTTCGCCACGCACTGAACCACAGGGCCCTATTTTAACGGAATCGTCCGCAAACAAGGACGATCAGATAAACCTTACGTTAAGGCAGGCTGGAGAAGAGACCGCCTCTAAAGAGATAGAGAATACGCGAGTGAATCTAAGCGCAACACCTTTGACCGGCAACAAAGCCGAGGAGACCACCGCCCAAAACGTCCCAAATGCACCAGATGAGAATACAGGAAATGCGGAATCGGAAACAAAAGGGGACTGGCAACCTATAGACTTGCCCAAAATTGCGCCGGAACGAATAAGAGAGATCCGCCAAAGCATATTGGCACTTAGGCCATCCCTCTCCGGCGGGCCCGCTGAGTTATCGGTTGACGTGAAGGTGGACGGTCCTGAGGCACAGTTAATGCCAAGGCATCATCGTGGGTCTGTGGTGTCTGCCACCTCGCCGAGGGGGCCAAACCAACTCGTCAAGGACCTCAATGCATTCGATGATGATTGTGCCATTTTGGACGAGGAAGATGTAGAAGAACCAGAGACAAAAACCGGAGGATGATAAGGGGGGAGCTGAAGGAAGGCGAAACTGGAGATGATATCAAGGAGCGCGTTGGACAGGAGGTGTCATCTGCGGGCAAGGATGAAAAGTGTGCGGACGAGAAACAAGGCGGAGAAGCCCCACCTGCAGACGCTGCAAAAAGCTGATTACAATAAAAGATGGACTTGTAGGTTGGTTATCTATGTTCAGTGGAATAGATACGAGATATATATCCCTGATAACCAATTATTTGGTCGAGCCTTCTCTGTATAGTTTAAATTGATATGCGATATTTGAAGAATGAAAACCCTGGGTCTATTCTCCATCCTCGTGGGAGAGATGTGCTGACAAATTCTAAAGGCCCTCTTCCATCCTGTCTTTATTTTACCTCAAGAAAAAATCAACCCAATGGTGCCCATATCTTTTTGGTCAGCTTCTTTCAATGCACTAGCTTTGCATTGCAGTCATATCTCTAATTGAGCTTTCTTCCCCCACCATGGCGCACGAACCTCAATCGTAACCACACAAGCGTCTTCATTTCTGAACACATCCATTTTTTATATCCTCCGCTTATCAACCGCGTCTCTCAGCATTGCAATCACTTTAGCCGGATCTTGCGCGCTAAACACAGCTGATCCAGCAACAATCACGTTAGCACCAGCTTCCGCTGCGAGATCCACCGTGCCCTCTCCAAGACCCCCGTCAACTTCGATGTTGAGATCGGGGTATCTTGTCCGGAGCGCATTCACTTTGGGCAATTCTGATGCCATGAACTTTTGCCCGCCAAATCCAGGGTACACAGTCATGACGAGGACTATCTGTGTTTGGTGTCAGTTTTGATATATCAGTAACGTATTTGTGGCAACCCAATCGGTTGTAGTTGACGTAAAATGGGCGAAACAGTATGCAACAGGAGATCTGTCCATAATCTTTTGTTCAAGGGCGTGATGTGCTGTAGGAATATAGAATTGTAGCTGATACTCACATCAGGCCGATCCATTGGGTCTTTTTGTTCCAGAATATCCCACAGGACATCAACGGAAGTGTCCGGCTTGATAGCAATGCCAGCCTGCATCTCTTGTTCATGGATGTACCGAATGAGTTCTGTGGGACTCGTTCGGCGCGTTGTCGACTTATCAGCGGGCACCTTTGCGGCGGTTGACGTCATGGCCGCTTCATAATGGAAACAGTACAGGTCGCATCCTGCATCTTTGAAATCTTTCACCCATTTCTGTGGCTATAGGATTGATTTGGCATGGGCAGCAAGGGGGGGGTGAGGCAGGAGCTTTATTGCTAGATTTTCACGCTGCACTCACTACCCCGTCCCCGCTGTGCAATCCCGCTGCTAGAGCGGTTGATCAAGCGGATGGGCGGGGTTGTGAGGCACCGCGCATCACTCCCCCTCTCTCGCAGAAAAATGCGTCAGCAACATATCCTCCTTTACCGGCTAATGGAGTTCATCATATATCGTGAAGCTGTTCCTTATGAAAGGAAAAGGAAAAGGAAATTAAACAATTGAATCGCCAGTCACGAGCAAATCTGATGCTGCCAGCAGACTCCATTGAAGCAGCACCACCGGAACATGCATATCATAAATAAACAAACAAAACAGAAATAACCCAAACTGGGGTGTTCGCAACTGGTTGGCCTCCTGCAATGTTGGCAGAGCAAACACGACCCAACTAGGAGTGCAACGAAATGAAACAAACCGCCATCATGAAGTGCATGAATGAAAGAAACTCACCTCTGAAATCATCATATGACAATCAAAGGTGCCCTTGCCAAGACGCCTTGAGGGACGTTCAACATGCAGGCGGATTTTGGATACAACGGGAGCGCCAAATGTGATATTGGGGACGAAATGGCCGTCCATGATATCCACATGGATCCAATCACTGTTTGACTTCATTAGATGGGAACATTCCGAACCGAGGGAGGCAAAGTCGGCGGAGAGAATGGATGGAGCAATGATGGTGGGCGGAGCCATGGTGACGAGAAGCGGTGATTGGAATTGGTTTTCTTTCTGGTATCGAATGGAATGCTGGCAGATGCATAGACGAGCTTTTTAAATTGACAGGTGATAACATGCAGTAGCAACAGTGGTTCTAGCAGCCACAGCGGCAGGAGAATCTCTCTTTTCCTCTCTCTTCTTCTCGTCGTTTTTCCGCTTGCGTGTCTTTCGTGATCAATCGAGCTACGAGGGCGAATAGGAATCGGGCATGGAAATATGTGATACCGGCAATGGATGTTAAGCCAGAGAGAGATGAGGTTGCAGCCAAGGGGACTAAATATGATAATGACAGAGCCACCCCACAGGTTAGCATGAATAGTAATTTAAAGCCATGCAACAGTGTAGTATAGCTATGAAGTAATTTCTGCCCCCCATATCATGTTCGATCAATGTTGCAAGGCAATCGTATATCGATCGATGCCGAGGCTGCTTCCAGCACTGATTAGTCATTCGCCTCCATAGTTAACCTACCAACTCACTAACTATAATTAACTGCGTTTAACTAGTTAAACTAACGTATTTCCCAAGTGAGCGCAAACACCAAAACCACCAGAGTTCAACTCATTAGATTTTAATTCAAATTATCTCAACACTACAACACTCAATTAAATTAAATTAAATTCCACGCAGTTGAGAACATCTTAATCTTGTATGTCTGAGAATATTACAATTGCTGCAGTGTTGTGGAGCTTATCAGCATGGAGCAGGTGCAGATAGTGAGGACTCATGAGATTGAATAACTGGCTGTTCAACAGGTGCTGCAGACTCTGCAGATGGTGCAGGTGAAGGTAGAAGATTTTGAACTTCTTCACTAGTTAAATCTCCTACTTCTTGTTGAATTTGGTGTCTAGATCTCTTGCATTTTTGCTTCTCTATCTCATTCATGTTGAATATATCCTGATATTGCTTCTTCATAAATAGTGACATTGACCATCCTCATATTCACAGATCTTGATAATTTGATCAAAACTTTTGCTCTACTGAAGCACTCACTACTAGTAACAATCTTAGTAGTGACAAAAACTTCCATAGCAAATCCAGTCTCATCAAAGTTGTATATATCTTCTGACAGAATCTCATGCTCAGCAAATTGTATTCCTCAAGATCTTAAATCAATCACATATAATCCACTGATCTTCATACTTGGTCTGTTCATGATTATAGCACCTGGAATAGCAGCTTTGAAGCTCTGGACAGTGTGCCACTAGATTTGACACCCAGTTCTTGCCAATGCAGAGAGAGGGGGTGGTGGAGGTGATTGAATCCTGTATAGTAAGAAGATAATTAGCTGTATCTCAACCAATGCTGACTGTGAGGGGAATTCTTGTTTAGCCTGGTCCAGCACTCATTCAACTATCTATCTTCTTAAGCAGAAGATAATTTGTGTGAATTTGCATGTAATTTCATCCTTGATTGCCAGCCATTTAGTCAATAGATTAAAGTAGAATAAGAGACATTAAATAAGCAAGCAGCTTCATGAATTGAAGCAATTTCTTGATTTTTAAAAGCTTTTATCATGAGCTCAAGTCTTCCCTCTCTTTCTAGAGAATCTGAAGCATTTTCATTGTGAATTGGTGGCATAATTGCACGTTGAAGTGGAAGAATAGTTAAATTAAAAAATATATTGAATTGGTGTTGCGCTCGCTTGGGAAATACATTAACTTATATCTGGTTAGTCAGCTACCTGCCCCAAAAGCAGCCCTAACTTCGCCTGTTTTCCCGCTTCAAACCTCCTGATGATTCAAGTTAAGGGCTGCTATGGTGGGGTGAAGACAAAATAGATGTTTTGTTTTTTTTTATTGAGTAACTAACGCTCCACTTCCACACAGGTACACCAGCTACATGTATGTATGCAGATGTGGAGTGCCTGTGCTATTTCCTGATTCCCTCCCCTCACCTGTGTCATCATGGTCAACTCCTGACTCCGTGTATGGTGCGCCGAAAGATAACACTCCCCAGCGCTTTTTGAGTGAAACTCCCCCTCCATCATCTTCCCCTCAAAGTGATAAGAAAGGAACTGGACGTAGATACCTTTGCTCGTCAGCATGTTCCTTGCATGACTCCCAACATGATCGACGCTAGCACTAGCTGCGCGCGCTGTTCTACTTTTGGAGTTTTTCAAGCTCATGTCCGTCGGGTCGCTGATGGCCGACCTCTTCTCCCGTTGAGTCGGCGGCTAACGGACTGCCCTCAGGGCCCTCCACGGACCAATCAGTCTGTAAATCCATGACCTGCACGGGGGCCTTTCACAGCAGCTTCCTCTCATTGGCCACTATAATAGGCGTCTCGCCCGTCAGGGTGTTGTGGGTACGCCCTTGATGCTCACTGATTGGCACTGTCTGGAGCAACCTCATCCCCCTCTTCATGTTGTATTTATGCAGGCAACTCCATTGTTTGCCATGCCTATCCAATCATGGACTTCTGCAACCCTCACTCTTCAGGCGCTGGCTACTAATCCTGACATCGATCTCAGTTCTCAGATCTCTCTGCTGATGTTGGGTAACATACTAATACCACCCAATGCCTCTGGAACTAAGTTGTTCTCTCTCTCTCTCTCTCTATTTTAATCTCTTTCCCTCGACTTTTGTCGTTCTATGCGTGCATATTGATTGTGCACCCTTTTACCTCTTCTCTTTTCTTCGTTGTCCATTTTGCCTGTTACTATTTTATTTCTTTTTTGCCTAGTCCATCCGTTGATTTATTATAGCCATTCATTCCTGTGTACCCGTTGATCGGGTCATTGTCCTTTTTATTTGTCCCTGTGCCCCAGGTGGATTGCCGGGGAAAGTAATATTGATCTTAATTCGCATAGTCGATGACATTTTCTCAACGGGCAACGGATCAGTCGTTCGTTCGGTAATTGACTGAACCTTTTATCTCTATATATCACGGAATTTGGATTCTGCCTGGTCGCTGATCTGGTATCTGCCATGGCGGACTATTTCGTTCAAAAGAAGCCACAAATTCGGCTGGGCCGGAGTGGACACCTTAATACAATAGTCGAAGATAAACAAGAGGCAAAGTTTGATGCAAAAAAACCTAGAAACTGTATACTTGCAACCGCTGGCCGGCCCGCGGTGGCGAAGCAGGCTCCACGGACGAATTCCCCACACAAAAGGCTTCCCCCACACCGCATTGTATCCCCTGGGTCTACAAATTCGTCTCGTTCTAGCAATCCATGGCCGAAACAAAAGCTCGACTTCGACGATCTCTACGATGCAACGGATGACGACGATGATGATGAAGGACACCTTAGTGACAGTTGCCCGTCCCTTTGCAGCCAAGGGAACAGTGAATCTGCCGAGTCGTCAAAGCTATCCACGATTTTGTCAGGCAGTCGAAACAATTATCCAGGAATCGTAACCCCGTCCTCGACAGCACAATGGGTGAAGCTAAACTCTTATCGCAAGAATTATAATGTTCCTCCCACCCCGCCATTAACAATACCTGTGTCTCCAGAACTTCTTTCTCGTTTGCCGAGATTTGTTCCTGAAGCTCATGCTCCTCCGTCCTTGGATGGTAGCGCAATTTCGGACCAACCTTCTACGCTGAGTGCACCACGAACTCCTGAGTTGGAAATGGTGTCCGATGTGGATTGGGACGCACAGTGTTTGCGTGTTCATTTGGAATGCGATACAAATGTGGGCGCCGAATCCCCTATCAGTGGGACGATGAGTCCGCAGGTCGAGATTGAAATGGACGACCCAGAAGATTGGAGTCACGTTCTGAGCCATTTCCCGCGCATTCCACGAAATGAAAGCGAAAACAGTTTACAACCGGTTGAAGACTCTCCCGGAATCGAGAGGCCTTCGTCCACTGGGAGCTCAAACAAAGGTGTAGAACTACCTCTAAACGCCCTCGCCACACTCCAATCCATCGAATTAGATGATGAGAGTGATCGCGACTCTGATATCTCCGGAGTCAACGAAATTGGTGAAATGCAAGAAGTCAAGATTTTCTCGATTCGGCCCCAAAGCATGGAAGCTACTATTCCCTCTTCAGCTGGTTCGATTCCATTTACACCCCTTACCATTCCATCTCCAGGTGGCTTTTTTTCATCACTTGGAGGCGACGCACGCCATACATGGTGTTTCACAACCGTCCCTCCGCCCTCATCTGCTACAGCAGAGAATTTCTACAATTGCCCTTGGAACATGCCCGCCACTTTACAAGGTTCTCTTGCTAAGACCCGTGAGATGTCCTACAAAAAGTCAACTTCGCACAGGTCCGGCAACCACGGGCTTCTGAATACTACCCGACTCACACCTAGCTCATCGGAAGCCGAGCGGAAATCCGGTAACAGTTCTATTGTGGACGAGTATGACGAACTTTACGATCAAGAGTTAAAATTCCAAGCCATCGCCAACCTCGATCGCACAAGTATTTGGCTCGCGGCCCAGACCACTTACATGTCCGCCTTGCGCGAGACTAACCCCGTCAACAAGGTCGAAGGTCCACCAACAACAATCGTGGCAGAAAGCCCACAAGATGTTTCTCCAAGCACGTCAAAGAAATCTGTTAAATTCCTCACTACTATTTTGGAAAACGGCGCCCCTCTGAAGTCTCCTCGTATTGTGGAGAATAACACTCTGTTCTATCAGGGATTCCAACGTCTGGTACGCCAGTCTAATTCGCGAGCTGCCTTCCTCCACAGCAATTTCCGCTTTGAATGTGCACAGACTATGAGGCTTAGCTTTATGGACAAGCATATCGATCACCTCGTCGGAAAATATGCATTGAATGACCCTGTCCGCCCCCCTTACCGTGGGCCATTCTCCCAAGCTCCTCGAAACTCCACTGTTCCCCAGATTCTCGCCGACCAGGCTAAATTCTTTAAGATAGAAAAGGAACATGATGCGGCACACCAATTACGCAGCTCAGTATGGGTTGTTGAAGCCCTCAAATTTTTGAAGGGTGGATCCCTTTTCTCTGCCCCAGCTGCAAAGCGGCTTGCTCGAGCAAAAGCTCCGTTAGGAACTGCTGAGAGCGCTGGATCCCGACGAGTCAGAGTACTTGACCTTGCCGACCATCCTTGTTGTGGTTGGGCGTGGCACGTTTCTAATGAACACCGCAACGTTAAGGTCTACACAGTGATCACGAAGCAACAGGTTGTCAATCCGGGGATGAAGGGGCCTTCGAACCATCGACAGGTGTCAGTTCCACAGGTTTGGCGTCTTCCATTCCGAAACAATCAGTTTGATGTCATATCGTCTCGTACATTCCATGCCTTGTTAAAGACGGACCGCCCGTACGGCGAGGATCAGGACGAGTTCGACTTGTGTTTGAAGGAATGTTATCGCTGCCTGAAACCTGGTGGTGTTCTTGAGTTTTTCGTCATGGACTCGGAAATCACTCGTGCCGGGCCATACGGCGCCGCAGTTTCCGTTGAATTTGGATTCAATCTTAAGACACGCGGGTACGACCCGGCCCCTACTAGGTCTTTTTTGTCTCGGTTGCAAAAGTCCGGTTTCACCTCAACCAAGAGAACGTGGATGTTCCTACCACTAGGTGGTGGCCCTTCTGCTCCACAAACACCTCAGGCACTGCCGAGCGAGGTTGGCGAGGTTGCCGAAGTTATAGGGACCACTGGCAACATTGCGAATACTACTGCCTTACTTGGTGGTTGGATGTGGGAGCAATGGATGCTGAAGCTCCAGATGGAGATGGGTCGTGAAAGGGGAAGGCTGCTGGAGGAGGTTGCTAGTGTTTATGCAGAAGGACAGAAGTCTGGGGCGGGATGGAGATGTTTAACTGGATATGCCATGAAGCCGAAGAAGCGCCGTGGCGCTCTCTAGCCACCACCCCCTTTTTCTATGTCGCTTTTTTTCTTTGTTTCAATCCTTACCTGTTTTCCCCCGTCTGTTGAATTGAAAATGCACTGTATAATTCCCTCACCCTCGCCCCAACTAGTTTACTTGCCCCTTGGCCTCTTCGTTGCATATACCATTTATTCCTACAAGATTTCCGTCACTCAAATTCCCCCCGTATATCCGATTGGCTCGGGTCCTGCTGCTTGACTTTTACAAATTTTCAGTGGGACCTACAACAACAATGGTCAATGTGAATTCTCTGTGAAGACGTGCGAGAAACATGTGTTGGGTTTGTGAATAGTTTATATATGAAAGAATCTGTTGGTAATTGATCCATCAATATTTAGAAAATTGAGGAGGGCGACAATTCGCCTTCTTAACCAAAATTTGAAAGAGAGTTGGCGTAAGAAATTTAATGAAAAATAAGTAAATCAGAAGTAATTTTGAAGATAAATAAATTTCAGAATTGATAACGTGCCATATTCGGTTGTTAATTATCACGTGACAACTTCATGTGATGCAAACTGACCTCTTTTCAAGCCCATCCTTACCCTTGTGTTAAAGGAAGTAGAAACAAGCAACTTCAACTTACTCCCTCGAACACCAATTTTCCTAGCGTGGATATATACGTTAATCTCCTATCTTTGCCATAGAAAAGGGAAATGTTATAGCCGATCTGTTTTCCCTTCTTCCTGGCTTATTGTGGAGCCATTGTTGCCTCATTTCTAACAACCAACTGCAGCAATGCTCTTCTTCAGGTTAGATAGATCCCCTGAAACCCCTTCCACCCGGCTCGCAACTCGCCTAGACTGACTGTATAATTGCGGGCTTAGTTTTTTCAAGACGCTCACGAATCACACGGTCACCATTGAGCTTAAGAACGATATCCGTATCCGTGGCACTCTCAAAAGTGTCGACCAATACCTTAATATAAAGCTGGATGATATTGAGGTTCTAGACCTAGACCAATATCCGCATCTCTCGAGCGTGAAGAATATATTTGTCAGAGGCAGTGTTGTCCGCTATGTTGTTTTGCCGCAGGCAGAGGTAGATCGGGGTTTACTGGAAGATGCTACAAGGAGAGGTTTGTAATTTTTTTTTTTTTTTTTTTCAATATCAAGCAGCGCGGCGTCGTTTCGGGGCCTCGTGTTTAATCCACAGGGATTCAAGGGATCTCTGCATACTCGTATCATCTACGAGTGCATCGATCCAACCGGTCTCCCTCTCGTCTTGTGAGAGAGCCTTATAGCTAACTTTCATTCTCCTTTTTAGAAGCAGCAAACCAAGCAAACAAGGCTCGATAAATCTATCAAATTCCTGACATGCATACCGTGCCCCTCATGAATCGTCTCGAGATGACGTTACGTCTAAGATTACGTTGATTAACAATATCACTTTTCCCTCACGAAAGCCTGGTTTCCTGCGTCGATGGACTTTCCCTGAACTTAATCCTACTATGAAAATTCCACCGAAGAGTCATACAGGCTTTCAAAATCGGGATTTTTGGATTTTCGCGCCTGCGTGCAGTGGAGGAAAAGCAAATTATGATTCTTTTTGCTATTTGGTTGACTGTACTTGTACCCGTACTTCATTGATAGGGGTTGGCAAAATCTCAGAGATACTCCATATTTATGGGCACCGCTGGAGGTAGCGATGGATTAAATTGCACATTTCATGGCCATTACCTGAGTTGAATTGCTTTCCACAAATACCTTCGATCGTCTAGGCATTTCTGTACATGTCTCTCGAGGATTGACTTGCTCTGTAGAACCACTAGATGTCCAATTGTAAACGGGTGTACATATCCCTGCACCACGAACCGAAATGCCCTTTGGGCTGGTCCCAACGCGTTGTACGTTTTATCCGCAGTGCTCCTTGCAGATGAGATACAAATTTCGCATATGAACCTTTTGTTTGGTTTGGAAGTTGGCGAAGAGTCACGTGTGCTCGTGTCGTCATGGCGTCACGTGGAATGTCAAACACGACCTTCGTCCATGATTTTCCGGTGTCAAGCATTCTATGATAATTCCAACGTCAATTCTTCAATGTATGCTCGACTGATGGATTATGATATGGACGGCATTTCTCACGTCACCTAGTCCTTATTTTAACTGGCCATGCTCATACGAGCCCGGTCACAAAAATGAAGTGGTTCGTTCTCTAATACCTTCAAATTCATCATCGCTATACCCCCAATATCACGCCTGTTGTTACCTCCAGTCCCAGAGATGGCTTCCTCTTCTTCCTACTTCAGCGGTAATAAAAGGGGTAACCACAAATCGCCTAGGCGTAAACAACCAGTCTCCAGACGAAGTGGCGGAAAACAGAATACCAGCAAACTGAATTTCTTCAAAAAATCGGACGGCCCCCGGAAATCGTCACAGAATCGGATAACTGATTACACAATCAAAGTACAAAATAACTGGGAGAGGGATCCCAATACCAGAGGGACAGATGGTTCTGATAGTCTCTTTTTTGAGGAGGAGGAAGGGAAAGGGAATGATAGTAACCACAACGAAAAAGAACCTCCAAGCCTGACCAGGGCGAGGTCGGCGACGCCCTTTGATCTGTGGGGGAATCCTGAAGTTGAGGAAGCTTCTGGACATGCCAGTGATAAGTCAATGTATAACGAAAATGGCAACAGTGGCCAAAAAAGACGAAAAGTCGATAACTCTGGCTCTGAAGGAACAACTGCTCTAGTCTCGGAGGTCTCGGAGACATGTTCAGGGGACGTACCTGAAACGATTCCAACGACATCGAAAGGTTCATACTCAACGGCTAGATTGTCGAGTATGAAGCGTATTGGACCCTTCTTAGATGAATCTGATAGCGAAGAAGGATCTCATTGTTCAAGCAACAAGGATTCTTCCCTCAGATCTAGGACTCATACACCGGTGCAGGAACTCGGATACGAGAGAGATTTACTAACAGATTCATCGAATGAGTTCCCTACCAGACCTATGAGGAATAGCCTTACCATGACAGCTGTCGATGATCCTTTCATTAGTGAAGATATTGATTCTTACGAACAGCGAAAGGGAAGGGATTACGATGACAGAACTTCGAGAAAATGTAATGAACCTCAGGAGCTATTTGATAAGGCGTGCTCCATAGAGCCAACCGGTATTAGCAAGGATGACGCGCTTCCCGGAATTGATTTTGCCGTTTGTCCGATTTGCGGCGAGAGTCTCGCTGGTATTAGTGACAACGTAGGTGATTTACAAGTTTGCAAATTTTCTGAGCTGATTAATTACGTAGGAAGCATCTTTGCATGTGAACAATTGTTTGGATGGGAACCCCACACCCACACCTACCGATGAACCAGTTGTAGTCGTTGAATCAAAACGAGGTACCTCTGTTGCGACGTTGAAGAAAGCCGCGATTCCTCGTCCGGGACAACGAAATCCGTTTACTATGGAATTTATAGAGAAGGAAACCTCAGCGTTCTCGAAAATAATGTCTGGCAATGCTGAAGATTCCGCATGGGCCGCGGCCGCCGCCAAGGAGGACGCCTCTAGAGGAAAACAGGCGTATGAACGCACATGTCCATTTTACAAAATCCTTCCCGGTCTTTCGGTTTGCGTGGATGCCTTTAGATACGGCGCTGTTGAGGGATGCAGTGCTTATTTTCTCAGTCATTTCCACAGTGATCATTATATGGGGCTTACGTCTTCTTGGTGTCACGGGCGAATTTATTGTAGTAAAATCACGGGAAATCTAGTTCGCCAACAACTCAAGGTTGACCCTGAATGGATTACAGACATCGAATGGGACGAAGTCTTTGAAATTCCCGAGACAGGTGGTGTCCAGGTCACCATGCTTCCTGCTAATCACTGCCCTGGAAGCTCGTTATTTTTGTTTGAAAAGGAAGTTGGCAAGGGCCCTAAACCAAAAATTCATCGCATACTTCATTGCGGTGACTTCAGGGCAAGCCCCGCGCATGTACGACATCCTCTGCTCCGGCCTGATGTTGTCGATTCCTTGACTGGAAAAACTAAGCAACAAACGATCGATGTTTGCTACCTCGATACGACATATCTTAACCCCAAATATGCATTTCCAAATCAGGAGGATGTTATTACTGCTTGTGCAAATGTATGTGCAAACCTGGATAGCAACGAGAATAAAGATGTTGGACAGGCGACACATGGTCCAAAGATCACTGCCATGAAAACTATGGTGGATTTTCTCTCCAAAAACCCAGAATCACAAACCCAACCTGGCCACCAACGGTCCAAATCCGCCGACCGCTTACTTGTCGTCGTTGGAACCTATAGTATTGGCAAAGAGCGCCTCTGCATTGCTATTGCGCGTGCTTTGAATTGCAAAATATATGCACCAGCGGCAAAACAACGGATATGTGCTTGTTTAGAGGATGAGGAACTCTCTGGTCTACTTACGTCCAACCCTATTGAAGCCCAAATTCACATGCAGGCTTTAATGGAAGTCCGGGCGGAAACGCTTCGAGACTATCTTCTTTCGTTTAGACCACATTTTTCACGAGTTGTTGGATTCCAGCCAACTGGATGGAACTATCGGCCGCCGGCAGGAAGAACTACAGATAGTCCCCCAGTCTCCTCAGTGTTATACTCTGATTCTTGGCAATCTCGGTTTAATGCAAGGGACCTAATCCCGCAACGCGGAAGCAATCCGGAGAGCACCTGCTACATGGTGCCTTACAGCGAGCATAGTTCTTTTCGGGAGTTGACCATGTTTTGCTGTGCTCTAAGGATTGGAAGAGTGATCCCTACTGTCAATGTCGGAAGTAAAAAGAGTCGGGATAGAATGAAGCGATGGGTAGAGAAGTGGGAAGCAGAGAAACGGAAAAACGGATTGTTTAAGGTGGATGATGAAGCAACTCGATGGTAGGGTCTGATCGGAGGTTGTTTCAGTTTGGAGTGCTGAATTTTGACTGGGCTTTGGATTCTTGGTAAATATTATTTGGCATTGGATAATGAAGCCTTCCTTTGGTTATTTTATTTCTATTTTCTTAGTAGCATACTAAATCTACGGCATTGCTGCATCCCTCAACCCTTCTTACAGTGCTCCAGATTCCCATTTACAGGTCTCCCGCCGCTTCAAGCATCTCCCGTCTTTTGCACCCGATGCCAGCTCTAAGTCACGTGTCGGCCCCATTCGGTTTGACGGCCACATCGACCACATTACCCCATGCCTAGTCATCCTCCCATGGATATCGGCATGAGCAAATAATGCGGGGAAATATAAGTCGGGGTCGTCATCGGCAGATAAGAAATGCATGTCGAGGAAACTTCTCTACTCAAAGCTGCTGGTTCCCGAGAAGTCCCTTTTGCCGACTCTCTCCTTCTTTGAAGGCAGTGCCGACCACAACCGACAAGTTTTCATAGAGGTGCACTCTACGACAAGCAGAAGGGGTGGTCTTCTGCAACCAACCTATGACATTGTTGTCTTTTTAAAAAGAGCTTCGTAGTCTCTTATTATCCCTTCGCTAACTTGCCAATTGTTACTGGAATGCTCTTCACTCAGAACTTATTTGGGGACAAGACACATATCATGACCCTCATTGCCATTAATTGCTGATTATTGATCCTATTTGTAAAACGATACCCCATTCTTTTTGTCATTTAGGCTTCCCAACCTTTAGGTGCTCTCGGGGTAAAAATGATTGTCTCACTACTTTTGACTCCCTACTCCCTCCTTTTGTTCCATACTTTATTATCTCTATTCATATATGCAGCGATGGTATCTTCATGATATACCAGCTCCCTTTACGGCTTCACTCTCTAATTTATGGCTTATGTACCAGTGCCGACGAGGTCGGCGGTACCAAGCTGTGGACAGTGCGCATAAAAAATATGGACCCTTGTGAGGATACAGCCTCACCATGTTTCTGTAGCAGATCCGGATGCTATACCGATTATTTATGGGCATGGAAATGGGTTCTTAAAATCGTGAGTGGTGTCATAGTATTACCTCTTTTGTAAACATCTATATAAATGATACGCTGTGCCCATGCATAGCATCCTATTTAGGTTTCAGTGGTTAACCTATGCGGTACTAGGGAGTATTATGATGCGTTTGTGTCCATTGGCCGGGGCCTTTTTAATACCCGAGACCGTGCAGAGCACACACGGAAACGCAAGACAGTGTCTCATACATTTAGTGCTCGGTCAATTGGACAATTTGAACAGTACATCCATGCAAACCTAGAGCAGTTTGTACGGCAGTGGGATAGGCTCTCTAACTTGCAGCGCAACCCCAAAACTGGATATGCGTCAATTGATGCGCTACACTGGTTTAACTATCTTGCTTTAGATATCATTGGCGACTTGGCATTCGGCGCCCCTTTTGGCATGTTAGAAAAGGGTCGAGACGTTGCGGAGGTTCGAAAGTCTTCTGATTGCCCTCCTACGTATGCTTCAGCAATTCAGGTTCTTAACAGACGTGGATAAGTTTCTGCGATATTGGGCATCTTTCCAGATCTTAAGCCTTGGGCAAAGTTTCTTCCGGATCGATTTTTCCGAGATGGTCTAGAGGCAGTGGAAGAACTTGCGGGAATTGCTGTTGCACTTGTGTCTGAGCGTCTTCGACCCGAAGTCATGGAAAATAATACGCGCGTAGATCTCCTTGCTCGCCTAATGGAAGGGCGAGATGAGAATGGTGCCAAGCTTGGCCGAGAAGAGCTCACTGCAGAGGCACTCACCCAACTAATCGCTGGATCCGATACTACCTCTAACACAGCTTGTGCAATGCTATATTGGGTTCTGACAACCCGGGGCGTAAAAGAGAAACTCCAACAAACTCTGGATGAGGTAATTCCAGCAGTTGTGGAGGTCCCGTCATATGCCATGGTCAAAGATATCAAATAGTAAGTATTTACATGATGTTTGACTAGTTATCGCGGAGTTACTGGTTCCCCCCCCTCCCCCTCTTTTTTTGATCTCCTTCATCATGGCTAATGGATATCATTAGTCTGTAATGGGTGATCTCCGAAACGATGCGCATCCACAGTACCTTATCTCTTGGCCTTTCTTGATTGATCCCGGAAGGCGCACCACCAGTGAAAATTCACAACCACGTTTTCTATCCAGGAACTGTCCTTTCCGTCCCGGCCTACACGATACATCACTCAACCACCATATGGGGACCCGATGTAGATCAATTTGTTCCGACACGGTGGGATCCCTCTCGCTTGACCAGCCGACAAAAAGCTGCATTTATTCCCTTCAGCACAGGACCACGTGCCTGCGTTGGTCGAAACGTAGAAGAGATGGAACTGCAATGTATGGCCGCGACGGTTTTCAAGAACTTCGACTTTGAGGTTCGACAAGATGGCCCGTTGGAGACAAGGGAAGGATTTTTGAGGAAGCCTTTTGAGCTGCATGTCGGTCTGAAAAGGCGACGGCCTTAAGGCTTATGTGTATTTGCAGGAATCTTGATCTCGAATTCCCAGGTGTTTTTATGGTCTGATGCTTGGAAACTTCGTGCTTTGAAGGTTGTTTGTTCTATGTAAATATTTGTTGTGGAGCTTAATCTCTACCTAGGTAAGTTTTAAAAATAGTTATGAAACCCCTCCCCCCTCCTCCTCTTCCTCCCCGATTATTGTCGGCGTCACAACCATGTCGAATGCCTCGCCGCCTTGTCTCGGGTTTACCTATCATTGACACGGAGGATTTCCTCTCAGCACCTATTAATATAATCCTCTCCCATCTTCCAAGGCGGCTGGAGTCCATTGCCGACGTTAACTTTTGGTTCCCTCCATTTCCCCCCTAGTTAGTCTTTGGCGTAGGCCTCCTGGGCAGGTACCAATACCACTGCTAAGTTATTATTATCTCACAGGCTGCTTTGCAGACTTACACAGCCATCTAAAAATATTTTCTTGTGAAGATGTGAAGATGAATCATCTAGAGAGATCAAGGTTTTGCGAGTACATTATATAAATGAGCAACAGGGACTTCCTTCAGACCATCTTACTTCTCGTTCCACGTCTCATAAACCTCAGATACAAAGTTAACAAGCCTCCGTACGCTGGGAATATTGCTTCCAGCATATCTCGTTAATTTTTAGAAACCTCTTTCCTTTCTCCTTTTTCAGTGTATTATTCACACCTCACACCAAGGCGAGATGTTGTTCCCGTATGCTAAATCATTGACGCTGGCGCTGGCGTTTATCAGTGCTACTTCCGCCATTCCAGTTGAAAATCAAGAGCCCGAAAATCAACGGCTTGAAACACGAGCCAAAAAGAAGCTGTCGGGAAAAATGATCATTGGATATATGACTGTTTCTAAAGTGCGTTTGTCCCCCTCACAATCTATACATCACATACGAATGTAGGTCATGGTACTAAAAGTCATGTGTGTTTAGAGCATAGCTAGAGATTACAATAAGCATGGAACCATTACTTGGGATGAAAAGCGCGACCGCAAGTCCGATGATCGGCAGCAGACAGGGCCAGGTATATATACCACACCCGTAAGAGGACAACAGGAAGGTGGTAAAAACTCTTGGTTAGTTTCCCTTTCTTACTCCTTCAAGGTCTCATATAGATCCACATATATATATATATATGTTCCCCAAAACTTCGTACATATCTAACATGGCATACATATTTCCTTTCCACAGGTATTGTGTGATCAAAGCCGATCGAGCCGCCATGGAACGTGTTTCAAAGATCTGGGTGCCTAGAGAAAATAAGAAGGAACACTTGCAATCCCTAATTGGTTACAATCCAACCCTGTGGTGGCGAAGTGAGGACACCCTCCATAGTTATATTACATGGATGGAAGATTCATGGGATTCTGGGAAGACACTGCGCATGTCCATCGTTTATAAGCACCCTGAACAGGTCCAGATGTCCATCCCCGAAAACCTGGTCAATGCGAAAAATGGCCACATGGGCTTCACTGCGTTGTGCGTTACTGACCAAGAGAACCTGCCGAATGAGAAGGTTAATTATGATGATTGGCATGAAAATATTCAGGGGAGTCGGACATAAAAGCCTTTTGCTTATCAAGGAAGTGGACCTGGGCAGTTATGTATTTTTATCGTCGCGCAGTTTTCATGTTTGTCCTGCTGCTTATTTTTCTTTTTCTTTTTCTTTTCTTTTTTTCCAGCAACATTTCCACTGTCGGTTTAGAAGTTATGTTGGTTACATATCAAGTCATTTTTCTATTTGTATTTGTGATTTCACTTTCCAAATCACAAGCCAAGATTGGAAAATATATTAAGTACCGTCTCAGAGTGCCTATCTCTGCGGGTATCAAGAAATTGGTATTCATTTCTGAGGATCAAGGCTCATGTAATTCTAGCCACTGGAATCCATAGTACGTATATATGTACATATGGATGTTGCATGTCATCGCCGGAGAGGAGGGAGGCGCAGTTGTCATCGCTTAGCATTATTAACTCGAAACATTCTTCAATGAATATTGAAGAGATTTGATCCTTTCCGGGTCAAACTTGAGGTTGAGCGAGACGGATGCCAAAAGGGTAGACTTCTTATGGGCTAACCCAATATATAAGCTGTTCTCGTCTTAGACTAACCATGGTATTTAGCACAGCCAAACTCTCTTGGGATAGCGGCTATCGGATTAATCTCCGCACGGCGGTCTCCATCAAAAGCTTGGTGTAGATATGATGAAGCCACACGATAGGGCGAGGGATCGGTTCTTTATCAGATTTTCCCAATCCTTGATAAAAGAGAGATTTCAGCCCGAACTCAGCGACCGCTTCCTCTTGGTTGATATTGGCTGATATCTCGAAGAGACCATCGGTCGTCCTTACGTCACGTTTTAAGGGGGAGTCGCCACACCGTAAGATAATCCTCGAGGGTGCATGTTCGACCACATTGAAGTGGTCTGTAATCTCAGTGCCTACGGGGTACGTGGATTCGCGGAGTTGAGATTTCGACCACAGTTGGTGGGAGGTCTCTGGCCCCTTATGCGTGCGCGTAAGGTAGAAGCGTTGGATTGCATAACCTAGATGATACAGTAAGAAATTAGCAAATGCGGGACCAAATCTATTACTTCATGATAATAGAATAAGACATCGAATTCGGAGACAAGTGAAGGGAAGAAGTACCGAGGCCACTCCACACACTGGCACAGAACGCTTCAACTAGCTTTCCGTCCTGGGCCAAAAGTTGGGGATTAAGTTTGGATAAGGGCACCCTCCTCAAGCACATGTCATGATAGGCGGGGTTCCTATGGGGATTATATTTGCTAAAATATGGCGAGGTGAAGAGATAATCTGACGTGGAACAGGGGACAACGTTGGAGCCCCTGGTCAGATAGAGGTAGCATCCCGTAGTAACTGCGCCTCCGAAGGCAGAAGCTTTGGAAAGGGCCTTGATGAAACCCATAACTACCGGGACAGAAACACTGTCAACATTCAATCGATATTTGACATGAGAGAAGGGATCATGGATTGAATATCGAAGGCTGATCGCCAGCTCTACTGAAGAACACCGTAAATACTGCGGAGAGGGGGAGAGGCGAAGGTTGAATCAAGGGGCTTCCAAAAGTAACCCAAGTCAAACTAGGTATTTGATCACGTGGAGATAATGAAAGATTGATTAGGGCAAGGTCCATTTATCGTGGGATGACGTAGCTACAACCAACATCTCAAGTTTGCAACATCAGACATTTGTTTGCAATGGAAGATGAACTTCAGCATTTTACCATATCCCGCAATTGAACGCTGTTTTCCATTCAACCATCAATGTTAATCAAAAAGCTACTTGCACATCTCAGCCCCAACGCTAACTAATGGTGTGAACGTCATCTGAACATCGGGCTGAACTTTGCTTGTCTCCCACGCCATGCAATAAGGTGCTGCATAAACATCCGTGGATATGTGGCTTCGAACTTGAATTCTAGCCAGTCCTCCCCACGGAGGTTGGTCCAATACTAGAGCTTTTTCTTTCGATGTCAATCCTTGTAACCCCCCATTATTGGTTTGTGCGAACTGTCTTTCCCGCTGAAAACTGCATGGCTTTCATGCATTGTCTAACTGAAAATAACAATGGGAGCACGCTAATTATTGTTTATGCCTGCTCATTTGGAGCGGATTAGGTCGCTCACACTTACGTACGTATATTCCACCCGATATGTTCAGCTTTGCAGGAAACGACGAAGTCAAAAGCCTCTGAAGTCTCTCTTGATCAGAATATACGAGATAAGTTATGCCTCAAGCTTGCTGTGCATATAAGTCGCCATTGTCTCTCCTTAATGCTGAGCAGAAGTTATTCGTTGTGAATCCCATTTTCTTCTATCTTAACCACTATACCACGATAAGATGTCGACGCCAAGATCCAAAATAACAGCTGATTTGGTTTCGACCCTGGGGTCACGGCTGCAGAACACAAAGGTCGTTACCGAGACATCGCCTGACTATGGGGAATGTATTGCCCGTTGGTCTGATACTGCGGTAAAGCGAGCAGTATGGCCTACCACAACCCATTGGCTAATCTCTCATTTGTCTTTCCCATGAAAGCTGACCCCGGTTTAATATAACAGGGCGTCGTACTTTTTCCATCTACTGCGCAAGATATATCTATCGTCGTCAAGTTTGTCCAGGAGCATAATATTGATCTTGCAGTCAAATGCGGGGGCCACTCGGTATCTGGAACTAGTTCGAGCGATGGCGGGATAGTTATAGACTTGGGCCGTATGCGAGGAGTTACTGTTGATGCTGCTACGAAAGTTATTACTGCCCAAGGCGGCGCCCTCTGGGCGGATGTTGACAACGCGGCAGCGGAATACGGTCTCGCGACTGTTGGCGGCACTGTGAATCATACCGGCATTGGAGGGCTTACCCTTGGTGGTGGCTATGGCTGGCTCAGTGGCAGATACGGAATGGTGGTCGACAATCTTCTGTCAGCTAATTTAGTACTTGCCGATGGCTCAGTTGTAACGGCCTCGTCTACCGAAAACCCTGATCTCTTTTGGGCCGTCCGTGGTGCCGGACATGGCTTCGGAATAGCTGTGGAATTTCAATATCGTTGCTATGAACAGAAAGGCGAAGTATTTTCAGGCCTGCTTACCTTTACTCCTGACAAGCTAGAGCTGGTACTTGACTTCCTGAATTCTCTTTCTGAGGAACTCGATGCGAACACTGCTGCAGTTTTCATGCTTGGGCAGCCTCCCGGAGCCCTGGTTCCAATAGTCGCTGTCGCTCCAATCTACATTGGACCTGAGGAAGAGGCAAGAAATAAATTTAAACCTCTATTTGCCCTTGGACCGGAGCTGGACAAGACCTACATGATGCCTTACGTGAAGTTAAATGCCCTTTTCGCTGACATGACGGCTTATGGGGGCAGAAAAACTTTCAAAGGCACATTTTTCCTCAAGCCAGTGAGACCAGCATTTGTACGCTCGATTCTCGACAATTTCACGACAAAACTGCAGTCTGACTCTGATTTGTTGGGATCGGCAATTGTTCTGGAGTTTATGGACATGCGCAAGGTGTGCGAGGTACCTCTTTCATCAACCGCCGTCGCCAATCGCAGTATGAACACTCTTAACGGGATAGTTGGCTTGCGGTGGAAGGAGAGCTCAAACGATGCCCAGCATCGTGAATATGCACGTCAGCTCCAAGCTCTGTTCAAGGAAGAACTCGATTCACAACTGAAGGAGAGAAACATAACTCCAGACGGTGTCCCGCAGTACCTGAATTACGCTGAACGTAAGCGTCTCTATTTTTTTATTTCCTGTGTTTCGTTTCGTAATGAAAGGGTTGGTTGCTGACTGTAGTTACCATGTGAATATCCAGCTGGTGACATTGCTGTTCCTGAGATATTCGGAGACAATACCACGAGGCTACAAAAACTCAAGGCACAATATGACCCTGGCTGCCTCTTTAGCAAGATGCTTTCAATTACCCCTGTTACATGATGCAATATGTGAAATGTTTTGTTTGCTTGTGCTGGATTCCCTGGAGCGGGTTTGAGTTGAATACCTCCAAGGAAACGGTCCCGGTAGTTCAATTTCCAAAACGGGCCTGAAGGACAGGAGAATTCTTGTTTTCTTTTCCTCTGGGCACCTCCAAGTCATCTGAGGTCAATATAAAATATCGAGTGGGCTGAATGTTCATATCATTTGCAAATGAGTATATGTAGTGACTCTCTTTCCGAAATGAGACAGGTAATCGAACTTTTTAACGAATCAGAGACATTTAGTTCTCTTTCACATCTCCCAGGCTGAGCTCTAGCAGTGTACATGTACGTAAAGTACAAAATATAAATTTTGGGAACAAATCCGCCCGTCCACCAGTCCACCAGTCCATTATGGCGACTTCTTTGGAACCCGCTTCCTTTCTTCCTGCTTGGCCTTTTCTGTCTTTTTAATCTTCCGTTGCTTATGTACGCGCTGATTCGCCTTTTGCTTTGCCTCAGCTACAGCCTGTTCCTGAGCACGTTTATCACGATCCTTCTCCTTTATGTCCGCAACACGTGCCTCTTCCAGTCGCATTTCGATACGGTCCCGTGCCTCTTTCTCCTCTTTCAGCTGTTTAACGCGCAGGCTAAGCTCCGCCTCCGACCGGCTTGGCAAACCAGCGGCTTTGAGGCGATTTTGTTCGAAGAGACGTTGTCTAGCTAGTCGCTGCCGCGTTTGGTGGCTATTGGGGAGCCCGTAAAATGTCACCGATACAACGCGTTTGTTTTGGCCAACAGTAATTGTCCGCTTGTTGGTGTTATCTCTGAGACTGGGAGGGAGGCGATGTGGTAGTGGAGCTCCCAAGGGCCGAATCATATTGTTAATGTTAGTGGAGATGGAATTGACCAAGTCCCTGAAAGAGCGACAGAAATTGTGAAATTCTGTATGTTCTTCAATGTCGAGTGGCATATCCACTGGAATTTTGACATAGATGAGCTGAGGATCTCTGAGACATGGCTGTGACTCAAGATAGAACCCTTGAACGCGAACGAGTGTTAAGCGCTTCAGATGTGGGAGCGCTGTTCGAAGCTTTAAATACTGTTTCTGGAACTGTTGAACTATATCGATTTCAAGCTCTAAAGTTCGGAGGTTCTTGCACGTCAAAAGAATGTTCCACATGCTCTGTTCGGCGTCCGTTTTATTACTCTGAGAAAAAGCGCTACCGTGATGAGCAATGTGACAGGTGGAAACGATACCTATATGGTGGAGAAAGCCACCGTATTGCTCGCGTAGGGCGTTGGAGACATTTTGGGCAAACAAGTTGGTCGATTCAAAGTAATGCATATTATTGCTCCAGAAAATTGGGGCTGCCTCGGAGTGAATTTGACGACAGGTGAGCAGGATACCAAGAAATTGGCGGCGGCGGCAGATACACTTGTGGTCGTCGACAACTTTAAAGGGAGGACGCTCGATATCTCGAGAGCTGCGGTCTGCGTGAGCACAAAAGGCACTGTGGCGTCTGGATAGTCTATCGGGTCCGATTAAAAGGTAGTTGTATATGTGGTTTCGTAGCTCTGGAGGGATACGCAGAAAAGGAGTTGTGATTGTCCTGGAGATGCGGAGGTTGGTTAAGTCGAGAACAACCGCCATCTGGCAAAGTGAGCTGGTGGTTGCTCGAGGTTCGGTCTGAGATTGGATTTTTGTGGACAAAAGACAGTACAGTTTAAAAAATGCGATTTGGCAGAAGTTATTTGAAGATGAGGATTTGTGAAATGGTTCAACGTAGTATAGAAGATAGTTATTCCAGGGCAGGCAGGATGAGTCAAGTAATACTCAGTGCAGACCAGACAGACAGCTAGAAAACGCTTCATCAATCAAAGATCATTCTTCGATAAAACTGCCAGCAGTTCCCCGCTCGAAATTCCTCTCTAAATTTGGCGAGTTCAGGCATGGTGGTCAGAATACGAACGGGCGCCACTAAAGAAGCACCCAGATAGCTTATTGGTTTAATAGCTTCAGAGGGGGGGGTGTGTGCCTGTCACCGCCGAACTCCTTCTCTGCTCCGTTCATGCGTATGTAATACAACCAGAACTTGGAGGAGGAAGAACTACTATCCATTCCTATGTCGTTTTATCGCAATGAAAACGACAATGAGTGAGAGTGGATGGGGATGAAAGCAGGAAGACCCTAAGCTGCTCTTCTGCCAAAGGTTGTAACCCGAGCCACCCCGAGCGGGTCAGCGCTGGTCGGCTTTAATAATCCGACAGCAATGAGGTATTTACCTAATTAACTAGCAAATAACAAATTTAAAAATAAAAATAAAAATAAAAATAAAAATAAAAAATAAAAAATCAGTAACAGTAGCCCTCATCTTGGGGGAGTGCGGGTTCGCCGATGCCAGATGGTTTCTACTTGGAGTGGAGTTATTTGACGTAAATAATCAGACCGATTTTGTTCATGAAAATCATATGGGGGGAAGAGGTTATATATATATTCTGACTCCCTCCTGAGTATTTTGTAGGCGTGTTTTCTAGGGACTCAGAGGCCTAGCCATAACTAAAAGTTAGGTAAGAGTGTCTTAAGCCTGGGCTTAGGGGTTAACTATGAAATGGGGGACGGAAGCCTAAGGTTTAGTTAAGCCAATAAGTGGCTTTTTAGTGCTTTGTAGTGTCTTGGCGAGCCAAACCTCAGTTTCACATATTGATATCCATAGATCTGTTAGTTATCTGCATGATGTTTAAAACTTGATTAGATAACGACCTTGGTACAGTATAACTAACTAACTAGTTAGTTAACTAACTTACTTACATACCTGTTGCTTTCGAACTCGATTGCAGGCTTGGTCAGGCCCTCAGTGGATATTCATATGGAGAAAGCCAAAGACATTAATTGCTGATTTCCCGCCGCCTAAAATATACGTCCCCTAGTCATTTTTGGCGCCCAATCAAGAGGATATGTTATTGCACGGGAAGCTGGGGCTCCACACCACCTTGATCCATGGATGTAGTTATGGATTATTGCTGTTGGGAACCTTCTTGACTTGCTGGTATGGAGTGGAAGCCACCAAGTCTACGAATGTTGTCATGAACCAATTGATATTACACGTTTTCCGCCCAGAGACTCGAATTTGAACACAGCTGGAAAGATAGATGAACTTTTGTAGATTCAGAAGTATGTCTTTTTTAGATATCGATATAAGGTTATATTAAGGGAAAAAGAAGCGTATTGGGTATGGTGTTCTTTAAACATGCAAATTCCTCCTCCCCCCTCCCTGCCCCCGTCCCCTTACCTCGAATAATATAACAAGTTATCAAAAATACAACCATGTAAAAGAGAAATGGAAGCCCCTACAACAAACTAATAATAAAAGAGATGAGATCTTCTAACGAAAGTGTGGGGCATTGAGAAATAAGCCCATAAGGACTCCTCCAAGAGTTCCCGCTATTGGAATGGTAGCAATCCACGACAGCATCAGGAGACCCACCCGATGCCAGTTGACAGCCTTGAGAGTGCCGTTGCAGAGCCCGACGCCGACCGTGGCCCCGGTGATGCACATGGATGTAGAGACGGGAAGGGAGTATTGAGAGAAAACAAGAACGGTAATGGCGGCACCCATTTCCATGGAGCAACCTGCGAAAAATGGGAAGAGAGATGTTAGCGGATGTTCTTGGTTGAGGGTTGGGTTCAATTATCGAGTGGATGGATGGATGGATGATTTAACATACCTCGACTGGGCGAATGATACGTGATCTTGTTACCCATGACTAATTGTTCCAAAAGTTAGTATCAAATAATGATATATATATTGTTTTCTTTCTTTTCTCGAATAAAGTAGGGTTAGCAGAATCCACCTACCTTTCATGATGTTGTAGCCATAGGTAAGAAGGCCGAGAGAAATGGTAAGCGACAGCACTGCGAGCTGCCAGACGTCAACCGGAGCTTTAGATGCAGCAGCATTCCCAGTTTTCCAGGCACCGTAGATCACAGCCCAGGGTCCAACCGAATTGCCAATGTCGTTAGCTCCGTGTGCGAAGGAAGCCGTGCACGCAGTAAGGATCTGGACAAAGGAGTACGTATGTTCCACTTCGTTAGTGTATTTGTGGGCGTGTGAATACACGCGCTGCATACGTTGGCCGTCAGGGGTACCCATGACACCTGTTTGTGCGGCGTGGATGTCGTAGTGAAGACCATATAGCGCTCCCACAACGACCATGGCGGGGAGCCGTACTGCAAAAGTCTTGATATTGTGCCACTCGTATATCTGGCCGACGCCCATGGGGTTTGCATGAAGATGACGCATTGCCCATCCAATGGGACTGCGCTTCTTCCTGAGTTTGGCATGCAATTTTTCCCGGCCCTGAATGAGGAGCTCTTTATGGGAAAGCTGATTGGCTTCTACAGCGGCAAGGGATTTCTCGTGTTGGCCAGATGAAACAATAGTGGTTGAAGGGGCGGTGCCTGTTTCAGTCTTGATGGCCTCGTGGGATCCATTGGCAGATTGGATTGAGTCGTTGGAAGACTCTTCACCCTCGTCATTCTGAACGACGGCATAGTTGGGAACATTGGCCTTGGTTGCATCAACAGGAGCTGGACGATTGTAGAGCGCCGGACCTAGAACGAACATCCACCACTTGATAGTGTGATCCTTCTTAACAACCTTTGCGTGCACGAAGGGAACAAAAAAGATGGCCGCGAGAATGCAGAGGCCACCTCCAGTGCCCAAAGAGACAGCAACAATGTACCACGCCGGCTTTTTGTTCAAGCCCAACTTCGGGGATCCCTTGTAGACAATGGATAGGGTACAAATGGTGCCAGCAATGAGGAAAAAGGCAGGGGAGCTATAGATAGCCCAGGGCACCGGGTTCTTGCGGATGTGAACGACCAGTTTGATGAGCATAAAGATGGTGGCACCGAAACCACCGGAAATGGCAGGGGCCATTGCAAGACCGGCAAAGATGGCACCGAGACCTTTGCCTTTATTCCAGCCCCACTGGACCTTAGGTGCTCCTACAGTCGCAACACCAACGCCAGCGACAGCGGAAACGAGGGAGTAAGTTGACGAGACGTGGGCAGAGTGTCGGGTGCACCACATGACCCAGGAAGACGCAGCTGCAAGTGCACAAGTAAAAGCAAGCATCTGCACACCAGCGTTGTTTTGGAAGGCGGAGTTAGGGATAATGCCATTTTTGATGGTGTCTGCGGTACGTGCGCCCACGGTGATTGCACCAAGCAGTTCAAATACAGTACCGAAGATCATTGCCTGTCTGTACGAGATGGAGCGCGACGAGACACTGGTTGCCCAAGCGTTTGCCACATCGTCTAATCAGAGAACGTGTTAGCTATGAGATATGCGGGGTCATTGACCTGGTTGCCCCAGGTTTTCTCAGCTTTTTATTTTCATTCTTCTGATGAACACTTACTTGCACCGTTGTTATAGGCATCGAGCATGGCAAAAAAGGTGCCGATCACAAAAACGTAGGTATGTTCGTGCACCGCCATATTGGGCTGGATTGACAAAGGGCAATGGATGGTGCAACGGGCAAGACTCAACAGGCAAGAGGGAAAAGGACCACTGCTGGTAAATTTCAAGAAGAACTAGATCTTCACGCAGGGTCAACAGCGCGGATCGGATGTTTTATACATGTTCGGACGGGGGCTGCCAGAGCTTCTGTTCTTTTTTTTTTAATTTTTATTTTTTTGTTCCGCCCGCCATTCCATGATTGTTCTGTTCTGCACATGGATGATCAGGGAGGGGGGTGGGATACCCAGCGCGTTCGGGCTTTCTTGACATTTTCCAAGTCGTGCTAGCGTGAGATTGAAAGGCCATGTTTTCCCATCTCGGGAGGTGATTTGTGACACCAGGAGACAGCAAGAGGTGGCAGGGTCATTTTAGTCATTTTGGCCATTTTGCGCTGTTCAGCCATGGATATCGAAGATTACTCTCGATGCTTGAGAAGGTGGGGCTCGCCGGCCTTGGGGGGTTGGAACAGAAAGGGGGAATAAAACAAAAAAAAAAAAAAAGAAAAGGAAAAATACCGCAGCAGAAAAGGAGCGAATCAATCCGCAGTGTTTCTGAGCGCTGGAGATGTGAAGGGTGTAAATGATGAATGCACTTCCGTAGGTAACTGCGGTAAAATAATGCTGGGATATTTCTGGTGGTTTTTGGTGGTTTTTGGTGGTTTTTGGGGAGGGCTGAGGGGTTGGGGGTTCGACGAAGGCCTGTCACTGTCTGTCAGCTCGCAGCGGTTGTTATCCCCAATGAAATACTCGGGAATCCCCACGTGTGGTCTTGGGAGTGGTGTAGTTCGTTACTTAGTTAGGGGTTGCTAGGTTAATTCACTAGGCCAGTGGCGGTTAAGCTTTTAAGTCTTGCGTCTGCAGGCTATACGGGCGCATTTCGTTGGTTGGATCAGCTAAACGATAGACGGGGATAGCCTAGAGTTCGGGGGGTCAGTGAGCAGGGGCCGGCCAGTCAACTGCAAAATTTGTAGAAGAGTCAACTTTCAAACCTCAACAGCGAAACAAACCCCCCTGCTCTGTTCTTTTTTCTTCTCTCTTTCCAACTGATAAAAGGCTGCAGCGTTTCTTTCTCGTAATCCATCATGAACTACGGTGTGCGGAACAATTGTTGAGGAACGAAATAAAAGGTGCCAATTCAACTCTTTCACGCAAAACTAGGGAGCTGGCAAATTGTCACAAGAGGATTGGGTAGCGAAAAAGGAGAAGAAGAACAAGCAGAAGTGATGGGCAAAGATACAGACACAGTGGGCAATTTGTGTCAAGTATCCAAAATAGATACCGAGACACCATTATAGTATTTCCGCGATATCCACCATGACGCCCCATCGTATGGGCAAGCCCGGTCGACCCGTTCCAAAGCATTTTTTATATATCTCCAGTTATTCTGACGATTTAGCGCAGCCCTCCTTGACATCATCAAACATTATTGTTAACCACATCTAGTCCATCAATCATACCATCGTCCCCAATCATCATCCGCTCGTTTGGAGCCGTCTCTTCCGTTCCCTCACTTCTTCGATGTGGGGGGGATGAAAAACATTATAATATCTTAGCATAATTAAGCCAAGAAGAATTGCCACTAAGCACAGATGCACAAAAATAAAACAAGCAATCATAATAGGGCCATAGCGAAGCACGTGGAACCCCCGGATACGCAAAACTGAATGAATGTAATGGTAGGAATCGGGGGGTTGATGTACCGGAGCAGCAGGGGGGCAGAAACGTGGGATGTTCCAGTTTCCCTTGCGGCCACCGACTGCAAAGTTGAGGTCTCTTCGGAGTTGGTTTTCTTTTGATTTCGGTTAGACAACTAACAAACTTAACCACTACTTGACTCGGCGCATGAAGAATGAATTAATTAACAGTAAGTTTTTTGGGGGGATGCTTACAGAGTAAAAAGCCAGATATCAAAAAAATCTGCCCAGGAAGGTATTGTCGTGCCAAAAGTTGACAGCTTTAATATCAGACGACTTGGCAACCAGAATGGAAATGATAAAACAGACAATGAAGAGGAACAAACCGGCAGTTGCACCCGCTGAAGGGTTCTCCGTGCTGTGAGCGACACTGTTACCAACAATTTGGCCGCCAAAGCATTCGACATTGGATACGATGGAAGCTGGCAAGCCCGTTTCGCTGGTCATATCGCTCCAGCGACATACAACAATTGCGCTGACAACTTCGAACCACACAACGAAAATCTCTTAGAACCACGCTGTTATCCATTTGTCGATTCCGCCGAGGAGATAGAAGTCAAGCTAGGTGCTATATGAAGACACTTAAGAGATGATAGCAGCGCTAAGAACGTAACGATGGCAGGGCGGGAGAATTTTCACCCCTCCATCGACGAGGAGAGTTGCACACGCATCCAACATTACAAAAGCAGAAAAACTGAAGATAATAAGAGTGAAAAATTGGAGAAATGCCCATAAATTGGTGCAAGGAATGTGCAGAGCAGCTTCAGGTAACGTGAGGAAGTCCACGACAAAGGCTCCCATTTCCACACCCTGCTCAGGCTGCCGGCGGAGATAATTGATATCTCAAAGACGACGAAGGCAGTCAAGTTTTCGAAGAGGACGTTGCTGCCGCAAATAAGAATCGCGTTCATCACGGTATTGGAGTCCTTTGCATTGTATGATGCGCACGAAGTAAAATAACCAAATCCTATTCCTGTGGAAAAGACAACCTGACCAACTGCCGTTTGCCAAACTTTCGGCGAGGATAGTTGTCCACCCCTCCACGTATCCCAGAGAAGCCTGACGCCTTCTGCTGCATTCTCGAGGGCACAGGAACGCCCAACAATGATGAGTGGTGACGATTAGGAGGGCCATGGTCCAGTACACAATGCGACCAGTCAGACCTACGCCGCGAAAATGGACCCCCAGATTAGGAACCAGATAAAATGAACTCCAGCCAACTGTTTCTCCAATGAGTCGGATTCCGGGATGCTGTGTGTATGCAGCACTGCGCCATTCCCCTCTGTCAAGCTACTTGAAATATGGTCAGTATTTTGGACGACATACGCATGTAAATATCCTCAATACTTCCCTCCCCGGAGGTAGCGGGCTGGTGAACGAGTTGCGGAAATATTTCACGATGCATGCCAGTTTGACCGTGAAATACTGCGTGACGAAGAAACTGACAATGGTAGGTCCGAGACGACACCCCCTAGCCGTTCCTTTTTTTCTCTTCTTCTCTCTTCTTTTTCATTTTTTCATTTTTTCATTTTTTCATTTTTTCATTTTTTCATTTTTTTTTAAATGTTGTTGAAGGCAATGACGTTTTCGCCGCGATAGGCTTGGCCGATTGATCTCGACAATGAGGGCGAGGACAGTGACGACGATGACAGCGATCAGCTAGAGAATGAACCACTGGAGTCCGTAGTTGTTGCAGACTACGGAATGGTGGAGCAATAGGTTTCCCTGGCCGGGGCAACCGCCATATAGTAGCAAGAAGGAAGGCAGAGTGTGAGGGCCATCGATGGCGGATATCCTCCAACTTTTTTTGGTAGTGTATAAAGTCATTGGAAGGCCTTTCTGATAAATTGGACTAGAGCTATGTTTAGCTGAGGTAATAAATAATGGAAATTGGAAAGATGTTTGTAATTTTGCAACCTCATGAGGACAAATAGGGTCGAAAAAGTGAGCACCAATAGTGAGAGATGATGAAGGATTCATTGAAAAATGACTTCAAGAGATTTTGTAAAAATAAATAAAATAAATAAATATAAATATACAGTGAAAAGAGCAGAAAACTGGGGACAGCGAAGAGAGCCGGCGCAGGGAGTAACCAAGTAATGAATGGCGGAAACTATAGAACCAAGTAGCGAATGAACGAGGATTACAGAGGTACCAAGGGTTAAACCGTATCCTGAGGATAACCCGCACGCCGGATGTCCGCCGCCAAGAGCCGGGTGGCCGCATAGATCCGCAGAATACCATTGTTTTCATTGGCCTGACGTTGAATAATCTTCCCGTTTTTGTGTTCTAGCGCCTGAGCTTGCTCGCTCACTCCGACGAGAAGGCTAGCGGGAAGAAAATTCAGCATACATGTATCTTGTTGTTTCATGCGAGGTTATGACCTTATTTGAGCTGTAGTAGCCTTCTCGAAGAGCAATATATTTAACGCCTTTCCAAAGGATCGATGCGAAATTCGAGAAAATAATCATCCAGATTCTCCAGCACGCTCTGCTGTCTAGTTACCTTGTTGGGGGGATCATTTGTGAGGTTCTTTTCCACTCACGGTTAACCAGACCCTCGAGTATGATGACCTTCCATCTAGCATGGAAATGTTTCTGTCATATATCGGGAAGAAGTTGTCGCGCCACGCTCGTCCCATGATGTAGAATCTTGAAAAGGGTATAGACTCTACATTGAGCCTGAGTGGCATTCAATTACGCTTCAAAAGCTCGATCCAGGTTGGACTGGTTGACTATCACTCTGCATTGTCTCTATCCTTGCGACGGCACAATTGGTTGAGCCAACAGCAGGCTGTGTCAGTTGAATTCAGGTGAATGAAAAACTAGTCACCGTAATCTCAATCATATCCAGGAATTCAGGGCGCTTAGCATTGGCGACCCTGGATAAAGCCTGCAGGAGGGTCAGGAGAATGGTTGATCTAGAGATATTATGATAAATGTTGCGCTGTTGCCATGAGACAGAAAGACAGAACACCTCGCAGGATCCCGGCGATAAAAAGCGGAGGTTAAAACATGACAAACGTATTAAGCTTGGTCGATTCCTGTGTGGGTTCTCACTCAAGTATGTCACAACATTTGTATGTCACAACATTTGACAGCCCGTGGTCTAAGACCTGGCCGATCGGAAACCTCCATACCAGGAGGATGTTATAAATTCTCTGTTGACGTCATGCTTCGTTTTTTGAAAGGATTCACGGTACTACTTGTAGCAGACATGTCTCTAGGCAGTTCTTTGGGGAGCACGAAGCTCATTTGCTAACTTGTTGGATAGTCGATTCACTGAACTCCATAACTTTCGAGTTCCGTGCTTCTCTGTTGCAGTTTACTGGAGGCGAGGCTTGACCGAAATGATTCTTTCCAGATGGTATTCGAAATCGCTTAGTCTCCATCTCCAGCAACCCAGGTTCATGCCAGGAGCAGGAGTTGGGTCTAAGGTTCGGAAGGATTGGAGATTTCAAGGCGTTTTTCATGTAGTTATTCTGCTGGGTTCTGAAGAAGCTGTCCTTATCTGCGAGATAACAACCGGCTTTAAATCGAAAGCGAAGACTGGTAACTAAGCCGGATAGCCATTTGGTTTTCCATTAGGGGAACATTGGATCCTCCCGTCAGGCGGATCCCTATTTGCAACAACACCTGGATTACTGACTCCGCGACAAGGTTTCCATAGATATGGATTTCATGAAGCCATACAGACGCGTTATCCCCACAGCCTGGCTAAGGCTAGAGCCGGCATCAATAAGGTAACTACCGAACAGAGTTCGGTAAATCCACCCATGGATAGCCCATCCAATTCCAGATGAATGAGGGTTCGGGTTTAGGATAAAATAAATCATCCTAATCAAATTACTCGATGGTTGTAGAGGCGAAATAGTATGTTCTTGTCGTTGGCCAAAGAAAGAAGCTCCTTCGTACGCAAACGCACGGCAGCGATCAATATTTTAATTCTCGTGTTAAGGTCCACTTTTCGAACGGAAAAGCTAGTCTTGGTAGCCTCCTCAAAACGAGAACGATAGCATGGATATTGAGGTAAATTTCTTAGGCTTCACTTGACTTCTCCGGAGATTACTCGACAATCTTTTTGTGTGGACGATTGGCCCGCGCAACGAGTTACAGAGAATGTGGTTGGCAAGTTGCATCTGGGGGGGTGGGTGCTTAGTCACCTAACCGGGACCAACTAACTATTAAATAGTTAGCGGAAATCGACATCTTCCGGAGAAACACTTCCATATCTAAAATTGGGTCGACTGTGTTCAACGATAGAAGAGGGGTCGCGACTATTTTCTTCAAGGAGAATGGTATTGGGACAAGGTGATGGCCAGAGAAAAGAACGAAAGAAAAGTGCTCCAGCGATCTTGCACCCAGGGATCAACTTTCGTAGCAATGAGAAATCGTCAACCCATTATCAGGCGCGGACTTGCATGTGAACTCCCCCAGCTCTTCAACTGATAGGATCTCTGATCCGGTCTTTTGTTGAATTCTGGGAGGAAGCCTTGACGAGATTGCAATACCACTTGAGAATGCGCCCACTGCCAGAGCTGTTGGTTGCCGTTGCCTGTCCTTCTCTATATAGCGTTTAAGTCATGCGACGCAGGACATGCGTCCTCGATTTGCCAACTCTGGCTTATTTCCGCACCAGGAGGCTTTATCCGTCCTTGGAATGTTTTTAGGTGAAGCGCCAAACGCCTCTGAACTCTGGTCTCCCGCACTTGAACCCAGTGGATATCAATGTCATGGAGCTTTTCAATATCTTGCTTGGATCAGCAGCGGTTTCATCCTCTTCGTCCACTTTTATTCGGGTCGAGGATTGGCCGGTGTTAGTTAACTACAAAGCCATTCGTTGAGAGGTCTTCCGAAGACTCTCTGATGTTTGTGCGTGCAGGACGCTCTTTTCTTATCTCCGGGAGAACACAATGAGTCGTCATCTCTCCTCCCGCAAGCCGCGTATCAAGATTTAATTCCGGGTCATTTATTGGTGGGATCGATTCTGGTACAGTAACGTACAATGTCGACTCCAACTGTCACAATATCCAATTTGTACCGCCTAGCGCATGCGGGGTACGGGATTTCTCCTCTGCCAGACGAAGCGGAACGGTAACCACCCTGGGGCCATGCGGTCGATGTATATAGAGAACAATTCTTATATCCGGCCTCACCGTGCTACCATTGTGGGGTCTCCCTATAACTTATCGGCTTTCCCGGCCAGATGGGAAGCAATGTGGCTCGGTTAGATAGTCATCGTTCGACTAGTGTGAAGGGAGGACTCAAGACGACTTCGAACGGAGATACCGTCTGTAGTCTCAGCCGTTAAAGAATTCCGAATTTATCATCTTCTGATCCATTTGTTAAGTTCAGGAAAATATGCCGTTTGGCATCAGTTGGACCTAAAACCAAGAGCGCTGGAGCTGGAAAAACTTGCACCTGTGTTCATAACTTCCATCGACCAAATATCGTAGGTCGTCACAAATGGATAAGTATGATTCAGCGTGATGTATTGGTAAGCTATTCTGGTGATTCGGAGCAGCTGGAATGAGGCGGAAGTATTTAAAGACGACCCATCCATCAACCCTTGAATTTGCATACATCTTCACTGAACAACCTTGGAATTTTGACCATATTTCCATCAAAGTCTAGAGTATTCAGCAGTTCACACACTCCAACTTTCAATGGCATCTCCACAAAGATGCGGGGGAGACTCCAATATTGTTATAGAGTTGGATCTCCGGATCTAACTCCTGTGAACCAACCTTGTTTCATCGCTTTCTCAAACGGTGTGTCACAGGTTCAAATTCCAACCACAAGGTGTTTATGCATCCAGGGTTACTTGCATATCGGACCCCAATTTTGGGAGGCCGATTTGTGTACCACCTGCTCCTCAGCCATCCAATTCACCAGTAATGGGACATAAGATCATAGAATATGTGAAGGTTTAAGGGAACGAATTCTTATCATCAGCCATCATCGTCCGCGGAATACTCCACAAAATGCAGCAATCCAGTTCTCCACAGCAATAATACATTCTGAGTGTTGGCTAAGGGATTATCAACCTTTATCATCCTTGCTACTCCATATGCTAATGGTATTAGACCTGGTCACTGTTTAATGGTATCCATTTAGCAAAATCGCTCGTTTGGAGTAGTTCAAGCTGATTTCTTCGTACCTACCTAATGATGAGCAAACATTAGCTCCCCACTTATCTGTCATTGCTGGGCTAGGTCTTCTCCAACCCAGATCAGTGATGTAAAATACAACTACTGCCCATGCCTTACTTTTCTCCAATAGTGTTCTTTGGTCCTCCTTTCGCAGTCAAGTTTCAAATTCATTTTCTAGCAGCAGATATAAGTCACTTGTCATCATGGATGACAAATATTCTCATACCCTACGGGCTTGGAGGAACTGAATATAGACTCTGGGATCTCAGTGCCTGTCAAATCCGAGCTCGCTGGGGCATTGGACGCAGAGCTCCTTAGTCAGTCTAGCTCGTCTTAACGTACAATCGATTTGTTCCGACTCTCAGCCCAGCGAGCATGGGTTACAAGCAGGAACTTCGGCAGCGGTATTCCAGTGTCCAAATCCTTGCCATCGCATTTAGTATCATGGGTCTTTTACCTTCAATTTCGTCAACAGTATCTTTCTCACTCCCTGCTGGGCCCGCGGGTATGGTTTGGGTATGTTTATCCTCGGGAGGGGCCGTGTTTGCGAAAAACAAAGGTGCCTGAATTGACAGTTTGCCGCCGGAATCTATTCGGGATGGTTTACGGCAAGCGGCTTTGGTTTCATTGTCGCGCTTGCAATGGTAGCACAGGGTCCAGTCTGTTTGCATTGTTTCTAATGTGGCTCTTGTCCTAGCCACCGGAATTGCATTAGCAATCGGCAAATCCAGGAGCGAACTTGGACTCAATTCCAGGGGTTACCTGTTTTCTCGCCACGAGAATCTCATTGCTTGGCCATCTTGATGGGCTTTCATGATGTCCTGGCTGTCTCCGATCTGGACTATCGGTGCCTTTGGCTTGTGCGTCCCTATGAGCGAAGAGGAGACAAATGCTTCCGAAGTCTGTACCCCGCGGCATTTTAGGGTCCATTGGTGCATGTTGGTTCTTTTGGATTTCTTTCCATGTGAAGAATCGCAGCATGTATGAACCCAGATATTGAGGCTGTGCTGGGCAGTCCGTTTGGACAGCCGATGGCTCAGGTTCGTGCTGGTCTCAACAGAGGAATAATGCCTCATCCCTCTCGTTCTCTCTCGCTAACGGGAACAGATAAATTATGATGCCCTAGGAAAAGGTGGAGCCCTTGCGTTTACGGTGATCATGGCTAGCGTTCAGTATTTAATGTCTCTCAGTTTAGCAAGGCTTTCCCGTCTTTAGTCCAAGCAAATAACAAATAGATTGCTAATCGGGGGAGGGCTAAATAAAAGCTGGTGGCATCATCGTGGCAAACTTCGGCTTTTTCTTGAGATGGAGCACTTCCATTTTCAAATTTCTCAAGAGTGGTTAGCAGTCGTATATATTTCCAGCCTGTACGAGCGGTCTGGGGGTTTGCGATAACGTTTTTTTTTTTTGGCCTCCTCTGCTTGATTCATATTGCGGCAGCCAATGCCCCTTTTTTGTTTGCCACAGCAGGATACGACTTCGCCTGGGCGATCCCTATTCTTTGCCGTGTCGCTTGGGGCCAGGCTAAATTCAGGCCAGGGGCATTTTATACTGGTTGGTTTGGCAGGCCAATTGCTGATGTCGTGACAGGCTCTCTTTGTTTCTCTATTGCGCTCTGCATGTTTCCCATACTGGGGCCATCGCCTTCAAGCCTTCCCATCGCCCCTCACATCGCCTGTCATTAAGGACTCCTTTTGTGGAGCGAGGCTAATGCTTTAAACAACTAAGCAGACCAAGAAATGAACTATACCGTTGTCGTCAATGGGGCACTTTGGGAACTTCTGTGTGATGTGATGAATTAGAGCTTCTGGAAGCAACACCAACTAACTAGTTACCTGTTGAAAACAGGATCAGCAAAGCTCTTTCAGATAGTTAAGCGGGAAACTATAACTACGTAACTATTACATGCGTAGTTACCAAACATTGAGAACTGACCCCGTAATTCCCCGTCGTGGTACGCAAAGACTCCAACTTGCCGGTATAGCTTTGCGGGCTCCGTCGTGCAGATGAAAAACAATCCATGGCAAATTGACTGCAGATTAGCTTGCTCAGGTAGTTACCGCCGTGAGATTATGCTTTTCTCCGTAGAGTCGGCAATGCAGCAAAGTGCATCAATCCTAAATCACAAGATCGTCGACGCAGCTTTATCCTTGACAATATCATTAAAGTGTCCTCCATAAGGTCAAGTTGAAACAATGGGTAGACGTGTGTGTTCTTTAACTACAGGCTAACTACCTTGGCAAGATAGTTACTTTAGTGTGTAGTTAACTAGGAGTCAATGTTCCCGCAAAACAACAACGCTGCTCCGCTCGCCTTCGCCCCGCCAAACCAGGCGCTCCTTTGTCAAATCATGCTTATTAACTACCATGCACGTACACAGTTGACTGGTTTAACCTTGGCCAGGATATTGCGTTATCCTCACCCTGCGATACGTGCTGTTCTCGGGTGCAGTGACGTGACGTGTAATCTGCGGAGTTAATAATATCTCACCTCAGTAACTATCGATCATGCTGGTCTCTGCGGGTTTACATATTGCCCCAGCATCCTTCTGGACGCTCGTTCAGCCGGCCCGTCCTCGAAAGCCTTTAAGCTAATTATCTTCTTGGGAGTGAGGGCCCGGGATTCTGGCATCTGCAAGGGATGCGCTCCACAGGCTTTTCCACGCATTATTGATGTGAAATGGTGCAATTCTGCTCACCTGCGAGGCAGGCAATTACTGACGGGAGGATATTAGTGGGCTCCTTGCCGCCGTCGATTCTATGGTTCTTTTTTTTATCGCATGAAGTTTTGAGTTGCGGTTGGTTGCCTCTGTTCCGCGACTCGTCGACCCCAGTTGGCATTCTTCTTGTCTGCTTTGAAATCCATACCATAATCAAGGAATTGCGGATTGCCGTTGGAAGTGACTCTGGAGTCACGAAGCTTCGAGTCTGAAGCAGGTTTGAGCCGAAGTCATGGTCATATACGGGAGAAATGAGGAGGATGGTTGTCTCAAGATCGCAGAGAAAGATGGCTTCACTTCACCCAATCATGCCACAACGACGACCGACTCTTCTGCTCAACCTGACACAAATAACTTCACCGCACCCCTGCACCGGAAACTCAAGTCCCGACACCTGCAGATGATCGCCATCGGAGGTACACAGCTGGGCTTTCTTCACGGCTTCCGTTCCGTCCACGCTAACTCGAGATCACTAGGTATTATCGGGCCGGGTCTGTTAGTCGGTTCAGGCAACGCATTGCACCTAGGTGGTCCGGCCGGAATTTTGATCAGCTTCTCACTTGTTGGAATCATTATCTTCTTTGTCATGTGGGAAACGCCCCTGTCCATTTGGCCCAGATATTACACACTAACTGATCAAATTGCAGGCAATCACTTGGGGAACTAGCAACCGCAATCCCCGTTACTGGGTCGTTTACTGAATATTCATCTCGATTCGTTGACGATTCTCTGGGTTTTGCCCTGGGATGGGCATACTGGTATCTTTGGGTCACGGTAAGTCGTTCGTCGGTACAATTAAATCGGGTTGCTATATGCATGCAGCTTTCCCCCCAAACTCTTGATCTGATTAGCAAATAGGTCCTGGCAAATGAATACAATGCCTTATCCCTTGTCATGGGATTCTGGACGGATGTTGTTCCTCAATGGGCATGGATTAGCATATTCTGGGTCATATTTCTTGCCATGTCGAACTTGGGAGTATTGGCTTACGGGGAGGTTGAATTCTGGCTGTCGTTGTATGTCCCTGCTTGGAGCTACCGTATATATGCTACCCATGTATCAAACTGACGACTGTCCATGGAATCAAAATCTTATCCCTCACCGTTTTCTTTATTTTGGCCATCTGCATTAGTTCAGGGGGTATCGGAAATCGCATTATTGGGTTTAAGTACTGGAAAGATCCCGGTGCATTTGCAGATTCCATAAACGGTGTAGCCCGTACCTTTGTCATTGCTGGGACTCTATATGCAGGCACCGAAATGTATGCCAATGGATGACTTCTTGTCTCATCTCATTAGATGCTAACTTCATTCTCCAGGGTTGGCGTCACTTCCGGCGAATCAAGTAATCCGTTGCGAGCAGTGCCGAAAGCTATCCGCCAGGTTTTCTGGCGAATCCTTATATTTTACATCGGCAAGTTATAATGTTTCCATTATCCTCTCACTGCCCCTACCCTTCTTCCGCGTCAGGGTCGCTAGTTAACGTAATGATTTAGGAATGATGTTTTTCATCGGCATACTGATACCTTACAATGATGAACTCCTCGTGTCAGCTAAGTCAAAAACTGGCAAATCACCCCTGACTATAGCTTTGCAGGATGCCAATATTGCCCCGGGAGCACACCTCATCAACGCGCTAATAGTGGTCTCGGTTATCTCTGCTGGTAATGGTTCTCTCTACGTAGCATCGAGAACTCTACTTTATATGGGGCGTACAGGAAAAAGCACCAGCTCTCCTTGGGATCACGAACAAAATGGGTGTACCCTGGGTTGCCCTTTTGTTTTCCAACGCTCTTGCATGCATTGCATTCATATCAGTATCGTCAAGCGCTGGAAAGCTATATGAAGCTCTGATTACCCTCTCTGGTGGTACGTTTGGTAGACTCTGCTATCCGCCTGTGGTTCAACTTTTCCCACGTCCACCCTGCCTACACTATGAGCTCCTACGAGATTTCTGACATCGTGTTTTTTATAGTCGCGTCCTTTATTGTCTGGACCGCAATTGGAATTACACACATCCGCTTTCGCAAAGCACTTGCAGCACAGGGCGAGGACCCATCTACACTCCCATTTAAAGCAGCGTTCTACCCATATGGCACCTACATATCTGTCGCAGCCAACGTATTTCTCTTGTTTTTCCAAGGGTACCCAGCGTTCCTCAACCCGTTCAGCGCAGAGGATTTTGTAATTAACTACATCTTACTCCCGGTGTTCGTTGGCTTCGTCGTGTTCTGGAAGTTTTACAAGAAGACAAAGTGGGTCAAGGTTGAGGAAATGGATATCTGGAGCGGCAGGAGGGATTACGGGGAAGCCGAATTGGCCATTAAGAGAAAAGCGCTGTTGACCAGGGTGAAGAATGTGGTTGTAGGCTGAATCAGGTGTTTGCCTCATCGTGAGGTCAAAAGAAGTTGATCATTAAGAATAAATCCAAGCGAATGAAGAGACCGAAATAATCCATGATGTTCGTGTCCGATTTAATAACTCCTCAATGAGTGGATGCTGATCCATTAAAACAGAAGTAAGCTATTTTTGAAAAGGAAATTCTCAAAGCAGGAGGTTAAAATAATAAAAAAAGCACGACGGCCAGCGCTCAATAGCCAGAAGAAAACAAAAATAATTCGTCAATGAACCCCCCCGCCCAAACAATACCGTCCCACTTCAGCCAGTTGGTAGTTGGAAGCTATCCAAAATCTGGTACATGGGTGTAATAAATAAAAAGACGCAGTTATAGCTTAATAAAGAAAGGCAACGATATAAAACTCAAAATTGCATCACTGCTTGAAAACCGTAAGATTAAAGTAAAGGAAATTGAATGCATGAGAATCTAAAAATAAAACACTTAGCCAGGAATCAAGCACAACGGACTCAGTCAAGCAAAAGGTCTCTCTCGTTTAACAGGACTTGGCGTTCTCGGATGATCGCGGCCTCCATACCCTGAGGCGGATGCCATGGCTAGACGCTTGGGTTCCCATTCGTCTTCATCTTTGCTTTGTTTTCGGGGGCTCATACTGATATCCCGATTGAAGCTAAGTGCGGATGGACGATCGTAGTAGTGGCTACCATGTCCAAATGATGGATTCCCCGGAGTGTAGGAGATTTGAGACGGTTGTAGATGCATTGCTTGCGATGGATAAGGCATGTATGTATTGGGTGATGCGGTCGGAGGGTTATTGGACTTGTTGCGGAAGAAAGAGAAGGTCAGGTTGGAAACAGCAAAACAGGACGTTATTGCAGCGATAAAGAAGAACTTTAAGAATTATCAGTTAGCATATCAGAGGGCAAAAATTGAGGATATCTAGAAAAAATAAGACAGCATACCATAGTTTTAAAGGTAATCGGTTCTATGAAGCCGTTGAAGATTTCTGCTAGCGTTTGCGCGGAGACTTTGGCTCTACCAACTTTGGCGGGGTCGCGGTTCATACATCTCTCCCAGTTGTCGCAGACGGTCTCCAGGGCAGGTAATCTCCGTCCATCGTCGCCACCACACCGATTTTCCATGTAGTTCTTTGCACACGCAGCCATGTCAGCAAGTATGTCAGCTGACACTTTCTCACTCTCCCTATCAACATCTGCCTGAATCGCAAGGAGAAATGTGACGATGATATAGAGTGTTAGGAAAGCGAGAATGAGATTAAATAGAAACTGGGCGTAGTATGACAGGATGCGAGGTATATGGGGGTGCGATTCTAGGAATATAAAGAGCCGAGAAAAGAAAGAAAACTCGTGCCCGTGAGTATTGATGTGTTGGGAGTCCCTGGAATGTGTCCCGCCTTCGCGATTGATGGGCCAGTCATTGTTCCCGTCATCGTCGAGTTTCTGCAGTTTCCTATCTATTTCACGGTCTCGTCGTCGCCTTTTATGTATTCTTGTAACTAACACGTTGGATGATAACTTATTGGATCTCCGTATTTCACCCCGACCAGGACTTGGGGCGAATCTTCCATAAAAATTGAATAGAGTGTTTCTCCTATCTGCATTCCCTGGCCTTTCTGGTGTCGCTTCGTAGTCCGCGTTTTCGGGTGAAGAAAAGTTTTCGCCACCAGATGAAAAATCCAGATCTGGCTTATTCCGCGGAGTCATAAATGCCGAGCTTCTAGCTACCGCGATGGATGTAGCAGGGGTTTGAGAGAATAGAAAAGGCTGGGAATTTGGCTCACGCAGCGCAGGTGTCGATGCTTTTATCGGTGAATCAAATATGCTAAACGGCCCTTCAAATACGCCAAGCAGCTCCAGTCAGCAAAAAATCAAGTCACATTTCATCTGAAACTGCGATATGATCAATGATCTCACGTTTTTTATCTTGGTGTTTATTTTGATACTGCATTGCGAGCTGGTAGAATGGGGAGGTGGCATCTCCAGGAGCATGAGTCTGCCACTCAAAGTCCATCGGTGTTTCATTTGTCCGTTTCTCCATGGCTGGTGATTCGGGCAGACAATGGCACTGTGCCAAGGTGAATATATGAATGAGTGATTTGGAATCAATCAATGAATGATGGGCGAGTGAACAAAACGAAATAGATGGATGCCTTGAAGATCTTCGATCGATGCGATCAAAGATTTGACGTTGTTGTTGGCTGGCCAGACAACGGATATTTGGACATTTCCTAGTCGGGCTTGGTGCCGGATATAGATTTCCCCGTGGACTCAGCCCTACAAGACCCCCCTGAACAAGTCGAGGTTCAGAGTTGTCTTTCTCATAACTAACTACATCACAATCATCAGAGAAAGCATTCGGAGGTTGCAAAAGAAAAGGAAAGGGACAGGTAAAGGGAATAAAAAATAACACAGAAATATCGTTTTGATTGTTCATTTCCATTGCCACAATCTAGAACTAATACCTTGGTTTCTCCCTTTAAACGCTGGTTTTTTGCTTTTCCTGATTCCCCCGTTTCCTCAACTACCACCCATACAGACTCGGATAACAACCTCTGTCACCAAATATTTGGGCCAACGAGGTTTATCGACTCCATTAGTGCTCGTGCTAATGTTATATCATAATTCTACTTGTCAGTCTGGAAGCTCCAACACCTTTTTAACAATACGAGTGGCCTTTCCAATACATTTAGACTCCCGATCCTCGAAAAAGTCCTGTTTGAATAGCTCCGTTCCCGAATTGGTTCTCAGCATGTTCAGCACCCTCGGTGGGTTATAGCTCATATTATAGAAATGGCGAAAGACCTCTTTGCCGTCATCATTCCACAATTTCTCCCAGACACGCGGAGGTTATGTCTTAAAAAGAATTTGCCAGCCACTGGAAATAGCAGTTCAACGCAGTCTGATTTGAGCAGTTATTGTTAGCAACAAGCTCCCGCTATGAATGTGACAAATTAAAAATTCTCTTGCATTAACACAGTACAAACCCAGCACACCTCAGACCCGCGAAATACCGATGCTATGTAGAAAATCAGCCATAAATTTGCCATTCCTCTAACGTGGTGAAATCCTAACCAGTAATCTGAATTTGGAAAAAAAATGTGTCGCCGGTTCATCATTCTCATAGCGCGTACAAATTCCATAGAAATACCACAGCACTCTATATTGCCAGTAAGCAGCTTGTTCATCGACGGATATTTGGTAAATAAAGGTGGTCAGGTCATTTTAGTAGAATTAACAGCGTCGCTAATGGGTCGCCATCCACTTCTGCCTGAGCACGGGCCGTACCATCCGTAGCTAATTTCCCTGACATATATAACTACCCTAATTCGATCTTTGCAAAGATCTAGGACGTCCTCCAACCCCAAGCCACACTTATCGAGGACTCCAGGTCGATATACCTGAACAACAATATCGGCCTCTCATATCAAAGCTCTCATGGTGTCGCGGCCTTCCGGGTTGTTTGAAATCCAAATATGTGTTCTTGTTACCCCAGCCAAATCGCAATGGAGAGAGGAATAATACGGCAGGTTGGAGCCATTCTCTCACATTACGCTGGTTCTTAACTCGGCTAGCCCTCGAGTAATTGTGGGAGCAGCAATCGCTCGGGTGACAACGACGATTTGAGACCTGCCAGAGGTCTCCGTACCGATGTCTGGGAGATCCCTGGCCACCAGCATGGAGGCTGTGCGGGCATTCAGGTAGTTGTGTACTTGATACAAACCGACATGAGCATTGGCTCTCCCCTGCTCGCTTTCGTCGTATTCTCCTCTGCCATAGCAAATGGCGCCTGCTTGACGAGAAATAGGTTTCTCTAAATTTCCCCGGAGTCAATCATGTCCATTATTTGGTTTTAGTGTTTTTTTCGAGAGTACCCGCTTCCATGTCATGGGGAAGACCAAAGCTTTCCAGGCCTGGGTTGGGGATTCAGAACTGCATAATCATACGAATGACCTTGGGTTAGACAACATATACATGCTCACATGCCAAGCGAGGGAAGAACCCTACACGAACAATTGAAGGTGGAAAACCCTTGGGAGTCCTTGGTTTTGTATATGTTGGCACAAGCTGATCTATAAATTGTTGCATGCTGGCGATGTCAATCCCATGAAGGGAGGTATTTTTTCGCAGCTTCTCTGCGTTGGCATTGGCAGCCCTGAAGTTGGAGTTTGCAACGATATTCTCTCCATCAGGGTCGATAGTCCAAAGGAGCGACGACATGATGAAAAGACTCGCATGTGTTCTAAAACCCCTACATACGTCCGTTGTAAGCTGCAGGTTCAAAAAGAAGAACGCTGGGAAGCGCCGTGCTAAAATTCTGTAAATGGTATGGTGTTACGTGTTTATTGTAATGTTCCAGGGTTCCATCCCGAACTTCCGCTCTAGAGGCACATTCAGCCAGTTGCCTTCGAATGCCTTCAACGCGGACACACTTACTGCAAAACCTCCAACTTTATTGGAATCATAGGGGTATCAGCACCTTCGAAGAGAATTTAGACCCATATGCTTTAGGGGGGAAGTTCTCTCAGAATGTTCTGGTTTGGAAGTGTTTTCTCAAGAAACACACTTGTTTCTGGCTCCTCGCGGATAGCCATGTCTTCGTTCAAGAAAAGCTCGATAATTTCAAAAGAAAAGCAACCAGGCTCCCCAGAATATGTTTGGAATGGCCACCATGTTAAATTATTCTCTGCGCTCCGCTATATCCACGGATGTTTTAAGCACTGGGTAATGTCTTGGTTACCTTCTTTTGGCCATTGCCGTAGCCGAGCAACAATATTCCGATTCCCACCAACCACGGCTAAAACGACTGATTTCCGACCCGCCAGCGCCGCGGATACTACCATTGGATCAGGGTCGTAGGACTTCAATGCTCTTCAGAAAGCATTACGCCAGCCCGAGAACTTGGATGGCGCATCAACCGTAGTTAATCTCCCTGCATCAGGATTGATTGTGGCCTTCAAACTTCCGCGAAGACCGGCGGCTTATGAACTATATACACACTCTCTCTTGTATATTCTTGTGGATTCGAGAAGAGACGTGCCCAATTGTGCCGGGACAAACTTGGGCTTGAACATGCCAACGTTCCCACGGATATGTAGCCTCTGTTGCAAAAGGGGGGCTGTTCGTTGTCCTTCTTTATGCATCTTGGTGATGAGCTAAACGTCGAAAGATCCGCGAACAGAAGAGACGAGATCGGCAACCCATTGCCAAATACCATTGGTTGCCCAAATTCGAGCCTACAACTGCCCTGCGTGACAACACCTAATCATTTAACAGCTTTGCCGCCAATTGAAAACGACTTCATACAAGCAGAAGGATTGAATTTCGATTCTTCCCCAGGATTCTAGCTAACTTCCTCATATTCGTGCTTCAGCTCAACTCCGACGTACGTTCAACTGACGAACGAACTAATTGCTATCCCTGTCCTGGTAGTAATCTCCACTTCGACTGGATCACGGGAATAAATATCCCAATAAATGTTACCAATGCGTGGGTTCCCCGTCTCGACCACCTCGAGGGATACTATTAAAATTACGCTGAACATTGCACTACACAAACAGTGGAACCTTCCAGGATTAGATTTCTACGAAGACGCCCTCTAAAAGACGCAATCAGTCCCTAACAATGGATGACGGACACGCATCCAAACCCCAGGTTACTCCTCCAACTTCAGAATCGGGGAAAAGCAAGTGTCGAGCCAAACAATCCTGTATTCCTTGCAGGTGTCGCAAGGTCAAGGTACGGTGGTCCTCCTGCTCCGGGTAGAGATACTGGCGTCCAACTCGTCTAATCCTGTCACAACCAACAGTGCGATCGAATAAAGCCTTGTCACGCCTGTTGCGTTCGAGGCCTTCCTTCTGAGTGCGAATATGTCACCAACAATGAAGATCGATTCCTCATTACCCAGGCTGACGCCGTCGCGAGTCTGAGAAGGGAAGTTGGTCGATTAAAACAACAGTTGCTGGCGCTTGGTCATGCTCCTAGTTCAGAGCTTGATGCAGCGGATCGCGGTCTTACTACCACCACCTCACCCTTGAAGAAAGGCTCTGGACAGCCCTCTTCGGCCCCCGAAAGTCCGCCATGCAATAGAGTCCCGTACGAGGAATACGCCACTTTACTAACAATCGTTCAAACCATTGCAACTGCGTCCCCAGATGTCGTCGCGAATACAGTTGCTCAGATTAGGACAGGAACTTGGTTGGATAGCACCGCCCTAACCACAACGAGCGAGCCACAACCTTATAACCAGCCTGGAGAATCAAAGACGACTTCACAGACATATACACACTTTAATTCTCAAAGTAGAGGTTTGTCCATTTCCTCTATGCGCGCGATTAATGACTTTGGCAGCTCTATTTATAATGGCTGATGCCAACCATAGCCTTCAGTGCAAATAGATGAAGAGGAACAAAGACAACCCAAAAAGCCCAAGCCTGGATTGAAACATGAGCCGGCCGATACAGCCAGTGCTGATGAATTGGATCGCAAGTCGGGGCCTGAACCTGATGGTTTAGACATCACACATCCTCCAGACGACGACAAGACTGCTATCACAAGGAAAGTTTCGCAAGGGTCTGAAAAACCTGCTAGAGGTACTGCAAGCACCCGTATACACTGTATCGTTATGCTGACATTTCTTCAAAGAACAGTATATTTCGCGAAAAAGGTGTCGGGACTCATCCGTCTTTATGACCCCTGTATCTCAAAGAAATCTCGTTATAGAAAATTTTCTCGGTCGTTTTGTGGACGATTTCAGCCCCAATGTCGACTGTGAAACTATTGGAACTTCTCAGACCATCCGTTCTGCCGCGGGGATGAGGATGTTTTCTCCAGTTCTCTCTGAAGCTTTTAAAGCAGTAGCCCTCACGTACTTCGGACATAATTTCGCCGATGAAAGAATAGAGAGAACTGGTTCCCAGATACATGTTTTTGTGCTTAGGAAATTACAGGAAGATATAAATCATATCGAACAGGCCAACTCCCAAGCTATTCTACTAACTGTCTGTCTTCTCATGTGTTTTGAAGTATGACCTACGTTTTTTACTTTTACTGCATAATCTCCCACTCGACATATCTCTGATATATGTAACACATTCTAGAGTTTTCGGCGCACAACAAGTGAGTCTCTCGTACATCATGCCAACGGAGCTCTGAAACTCTTGGAGTATCGAGGTCCGCAAAGCCACATGTTCGGAATCGATCATTCGTGCTTTGCTGAACTTCGGCCATACTGGGTCTGTCATATCCTTCCACTGATCGGGGTTCTCTCTTTATGAAGATTGACTGGCTAAATCACATATAGGTGTTCCTCGCCCTGGTCACAAGAAGGCCCACATTTCTTGCGAGAGAAGACTGGAAATCGGTACCGTTTTTAGCTGGTTCATCCTCCAAGGATCTCATGCATCATCTCCTAGATCAAGTCGTGGACATCCCTGCGTATCTTGCCCAGTTTGACCGGCTCATTGAGGGACTAAATTCGGGCTGCATAAATTATACAGAGGTAGCAACTACACAAGGCATGCTGTGGTCATGGGTAGCTGATCTTGATAATCGGTTACGCCAGTGGAAGAAAGACTGGATCGATTCAGTTCCATCACGCCAAGCCACTGAGGTAATAAGTCAAGGCAGCGATCCATTTCCTATCTTTCGATGCCGTGATCTTACCACGATGGATATAATTACTCCAACCACTCTCATCTACCCAGACCTGCGAATTGCCCAGACAATGAGTGTATATTATGCCTCCCACCTCATCCTTTCCGCCTCTGATACAAGATCAACTCCGTCTCTGCAACCTTCGCAGCAATACGAGTTTGCATGTAATATCTGCCGGAGCATGGAATATTTCATTCGCAAGAGTCCGGGCAAACTTATCAATCGTATGGCGTTTCCTCTTCGAGTTGCCTTTGATGTGTTGCCAGAGTCGGGTGTGGAGCGGGAATATGTGGTCAAAATATTTCGCCTGGTGAATGACCGGCACAAGCTAAAGCTTTGGGGAACAACCATCCCGGAAATATCATCGAAACGGAGAGATGTATGAAACCAGAGTGGGCGAGTGTAATTCCTTCCAGCATGACAAAGTGTTTTATCAGGGTTTTTTGTAGGAGGGAATCTGGCAGGCATGGGTTGTAGCTGTGAGCTTGATTCCTTGGTTTTGTATTTACCACACAGTGGGTGTCCCCTGTTATACTGTACCGTTCGTGACGGATCTGATTTGTTCCCCCCCCCCGAAGCTTTTTTGATTGTGGATTATAAATTTTTTTAAGTCCGGTCGATTCCAGTCCGCGTCCTATCTTATATCTCGAAATATTTCAAGCTTTTTACACACTAGCTTCAGATTTACTTCCTGCTGCGCGCTTGCCGCTAGCGTTATTTTTGTCAATTATATTTGATTAAATCGAGTGGTCGTTCATGTATGATCGTTCGATTAGCGCTGAAGGGTTTCGATTCTGAATATATAGCTTAAAAATGATCTATTTTATGAGTAATATTACTAAGTAACGAACAGTTTATGGGCAATCTAATGTAGATATATCAAGTCAATCAACCTTGACCGAAATTAAAAGGAAGAAACGCCCGACACAAGTCCCGACACTCAGACACTGAAGAAAGTAAGTATCATATTTCCGACCTGACCAGTTTGAAATGCTGGTGCCATCTTTCAGAATTTCGATTTTCTCCTCTAAAACATACCCTTTCCAGCGTGGAATGAGAACTGTCCACAAGTTCCAGTAAACCAGAGCGAGAGATAATCTGCAAATCCCTTAGTAGGCCTAGAAAGCTGATGGGGAGCCAGGGGGCGAAAGGGGATACATACATTCCGACACCAACAATCGCATACGTATTGTAGAAGAAACTCACATCCTCTTTCCCGTCTACCGGGGGGGGAAGAAAAGTGCAGCAAGGAGTCCGATGGATAAAATGATCGATATCCACACCGCAAATGTCCAAGATTTGAAAGGTCTTGGTAAGTCTGGAGCTCTATGTCTCAATATCAAAAGGCCAACTGAGAGTGCTAGCATGACGATCTGGGCCGGGTAACCTTCTACATCTAGGATAAAGATGTATACATCATTAGACGGCGACAAGACGATGACTAGAAATGAGGAGATGTAGTGGACTATGAATCCTCCTGGGGGGCGGTTGAAAGGAGGTGATGTCGCAAGAAAGCGCGCAAAGGGTAAGTAACCCTGTAGGACAATTTCTTGGTTAGGGCGAGCCTATCACCAAGAATTCATTATTATGAGATCATGCGGGTCTTTGCTAGATTATAGAGAACAGAAGCAGTGAATAGAAATCCTCAGGTTGTATTAATGACATACCGCTGTGAACGAAACGACCTATCGTTTCCCGCAGACGAAATTGCAATAGCAAGTGGCAGTGTGACATTGCCCAAGCCGAATCCAAAATACCTTCTCAAAAAGAACGCAGCAATAATCTCTCCACTGCGTTTAATATCGTCGAGGGGTATCACACAAAAATAAGCAATGTTGATCAGTAGATATAAAGATGTTGCAGTCACAAGAGCCGCGGGAGCCACGAGAGCCTCGAGTTTCAACGTAGGTATAGGATTGCTGACTTCGTTTAGAACGGTATTGGCATTGACCATCCCGGCATATGCATAGCTAACTTTGAACATCGCATTTGACAAAGTCAACATGCCCCAGTCCAAATGTCTCCATAGAAAGTCCTAGGAAAGTCCATCAGCCCAGGAAACAGGATCCGAATTATTTCTGATGGGTTGACACCACGACATAGATGCCGGTAGTTACACGCGATGAAGAAGACCAGGAAAACCTTTATCCATCCAAGGGCGTTCTGGATCCAGACTGCAGCTCGAAGAAAGCATCCGTGAATAATGACAACGACTGTCAATAGGCGGGCAGCAAAGAGCTTTCGTCTGAAGTCAGTTGCGTCATACCCAAAGCAAATATCAAACACTGGCCAAACACAACACAGTTTCCTGTAGCGAAACTCAACAAAACCTCTTGCACAGCAATCAATGTTGAGATGAGAAATCTTGGATATCGATATGTGAACTCAATATAGACTTTATGAGCCCCTGAATGCGGCAACATACAGCGATATTCTAACCATACAGCTAGATTTGTGGTGGCAATGGCGGCAACAACTTACCACATAGTTAGAGAGTGAAAGGTCAATGCTGCCAACGGACTCTGCGATCAGGCCCGGCCTTGCAAAGATGCCCGTGCCGATGATTCGCCTCCAATGTTCAGCATCAAAAGATATCAGAACATATAAATGGCGTGAAAACCCCCTTCGAATTTCTATCATTCCTGACGTCATTACTTTGGCGCTGGTATTTCTCCTTGGGAAACCACATCATCGCTCTGCGGAAATTTAGCAGTATCTCTGAGCCTTACAACAGAGGCGCAAGTTCAGTATATGTTCAGGCAAGATGAGATCGATGACCTGGCGGGCGTCCCCTCTTCCCCTAGCCCGCATTTTGGGCCGTATCACCAACCAGGTAGCAAATTGAGTCGGATTGCGAGCAAAACCAAGCTCGAAACCTTCCTGTCGTCACCAGAAAACACATCCAACCCAGCAACACCATAGACAACGGCTGCCACCAATTTATCGATGAAGTCACCTCAATGCTCACGGCACCTCGACAACCTCGATTCCGTCCCAGGTGTCGGCCGCATGCTGACATCCAGTGCATCGGAGCGACTTTGCCGCCCTTAACGAAACTTCACCACCACTTGGTTCTCCTGCAGTTATAACGATTCGTGCTCAATCTCCTATCATCCAGCCCCTCCATGCAGAGTTCCGTTGACCAGATCATCCAATCATCAATGCATTTTTATTTATTTATTTAATTTTTTTTTACGGGGCGTGCCCGGGAGTAGTGGTGCTGCAGTCTCTATTCAGTGTTGGGTGTGAGGCACATCAAGCAGCGGATCGAGACAATATCCGTAAGCTGTTGTACCCGGATGCAGTTGCAGTGTCGAATGGGTGTTCTATAGGGGTTGTATGGCCCAGACGGAAAGGTGCCACTGCTCTCTTGATGTAGATATCGCAGTCTGCGACAATGCTACCGTCTATTCATAGAATACGAAAACTTTTAAATTTAGTTATCGTCATCCGCAGGCCCATTCCGCCCGGGGATAGAATTTGCATTCCCTGCACAGGTTGTGCTGGAACTAGGCAGCTGCAGCTGCAAGGCTGTAAGAATAAAAAGCCGGAGGGGCAAAACTGGGATCTTATTTGCGCACGTAAATATGTCCAATGCAGGTGGAGAATATGGGATATCGTTGGAGGGTTCCATGTGGAGAATGGCATATGGGTTGTTATTTGAACCCTTTCATTTAGAGTGCGCCTATTTGCTTATTTCATGCGATGTGGCAACTTACTGGTGCATCAAGGATGTTGTATCTTTCATGAGCTCTAAACTCCTGTATTTATCAATGTTGGAGAATGATGGCGCCCAAATATTGTTCTTCATGTGTGATAATGTCAAGAAAGGTTGTGGATTTGATGATATGCGTAGACATTATTTTGTGCTTGTCCATAAATTAACCCAGTATAATTTGTAGGAAATAACTGATAAGAGAGAAAACAGAACTTAAAGAGAACCTCATGTATTCATTTCATCATTTTCCTAGTCATCAAGCACAAATGTAAAACAAGCGATTGTTTCAAAGTTCGTGCAAATGAAGATTCCAAAAAATATTTCAAAACAGACCAGAAATTCAAAAGAAGAAAGACAAAATTAGAAATGAAAAAAATATATATATCCAGCATGTATCATACATGTTTCATGTCCTCAAGAAGCACAGTGCGCCGGATCACTTCTCGCATGATGCTTGTCTAGTTTCAATCCCAGTCCCATGCATGCTATGTTTATATATTTAGGTAAAAATGCGATAATCAAAAAAGGACACCACCCCAGTAAATTCAAACTCCGGAGGTGGCAAACGCCAACCTCAACACAAAAGGGTCGACCCAACATTTTTGAGGTACCCAACGCCACAGTTAAGCAACGTGAAAGAAAGTAAAGATAAAACCAAAGAAGTAAATTATGTAAATGAGCAATCAGGTCAACGGTTCAGTGGAGACATTTGATGAAAACGAATGCGGAGCTAGCCAGCCCTGCTAGGACTGGGGAATCTCAGACGGAGAGAGCCGCAGATGCTTACCCTCTACAGGTCCGCACTATTGATGAGCTCGAAGTCGCCATCATCAGCTGAGAATCCATCGTCACGATGGGGAGAGGCTTCCTGAACTCCGACGAATTCATACTCTCGGACGAGCTTCTCCGTTTCCTGAGCTTCGAACTTCTTCAAGGCGTGAGTGAGCGCATCACCAAGAACATCGGTGCCCTGAATGGGACCAGTACGTGCGTCGAAAGAGTAGAAGACGTTCGGATCATCAGCAGCCTCGTTGGGTTCAAGAACATCGTCATCAGCAGAGGAGTCGGAGTTGTGGTGTTCTTCATTCAGGAACTGGCCCACAATATAGCGGAAATGTGACATCTTTTCCGCTGCCTTTTCGTCAACAAAACTCTGCATTTGGATTCGGTTGATCTTGACAGAACTAAAAAAACATTCGTTAGCATAAATTGGCACAAGGAAATAGCTATGAGGAGAGGAAGTTTAGCTTACCCTTTCCCAACGTGGCTTTCGGGTCTGTTAGGGCGAACTCGAGTAGTACCAGGGATCTTGACTGTTCCGGTCATCCAGATGTGAGTGTTAGGACGGATTCCCAAGGCCCATTTTGCTTTGTGATCATGGACACGCTTGGCCTCAGTAGCTGAGCGCCGCAGATCGGATTCTGGAAGAGGGAAAGATTCAGAGGCCATGAAGATGTCCATTAACAAGATTTCACTTGGAGGAGTACAGTAGGTAATAGATTAGCATCAACTAGATGCACGCAACGAAGGGTAAAGCCACAAGGAAATTATTAAAGAGAGTATTTCCGAGCCACCAGTGACTATAAGAGATGATTTAAAATCGAATGTACAATAATTGTATGCAAGAGAGAGTAGCTGATAAGAGTGTGATAGAGCTTCTATGAAGCGGAGGTAAGATAGGAGAGAATGGTCCAGGAATGTGATCAGCACGCGTGTTTTGAAGCTAAAGGAACCTTGATATGGAGGCTGTATGCGTGAGGCGTATGGATGAAGTTAGTAAGACAAAGAACAACCATCAGAGGATGATGATGAAGCTGGGTATATATAGAAGTTGGGGGAATGAAGGAGTCACCAGACTGAGGGAGGAATGTATTATGTCAGTCTTATCAGGCACAATCATAGAGTCATCGCCAAGACTGCCGGTACCCTTCCCAGAACAGTCTAGCGCCTTGCTAGCGGGCCGCTGCCATGTACTGTACCTGGGAAGACACTGTACTGTATGAACTGTATCGTATCGTACATACATACATACATACATACATATAATACGGTACATTTCGTTGCTTTCAGATACGGTTTAGCACAATTATATCAGAGACACTTTGGGAACTGAGACATATTACTTCCTCATGCGATATAAAACTCTATTTAGTAACCCCTTATTGTCTTCCTTCATACACTTGTTCGGGTTTTGCAAGGGCGCGGTTATAGATGAACTTTGTATACATTCAGACTTTATTTCCCTTATGCTTTTTAAGGTAGTGTGTCACCCAATCGATTCTGAGTTTCCATATCAGCTTGTCTCTCAAGGTACGCCATGCTTCGTTACGTAGAGGGTCGAGGAAGAAGGCCACGTTTATTCATGGAATAGAATCCACTGCACTAGAGCAGCTTCAAGAAGGTAGCGACTTTTTTTTTTTTTTTTTTTTTTTTTTTTTTTTTCAAATCAGCAGCCAGTTTATTCACATGACCCAGTTATAATGATTTAGTGTTATACAGCCTGGCAGCTGTTCACTGGACTTAATCCCTGATGTTCAATAGCTAATAATAGCTAGAGCAGTGAAGGTAAGTTGGTTTGCGCTCATAACTGCTGAATATATGCTGAGATATGAATGTCCTAAGGTTGAACTGCTTTGTTTTAATTGTTACCCCTTAAACAGAACTCTCATTAAATAATAGTGTAAAGAGAATTTATAAGTCCACTATATATACTTTTTTTTAAAAACTGAAGTAGAAATAAAGTTTCTTGTTGATTTTCTAGAGCCCTGCACATATAGACTATCTTTAACTATCTTTTCCCTTCCAGTACAAGATCAACCATTCCACTGGTTACGACATGGTTAGTGTACGATTTTGAAGAATCGATGCTAATTTTCATAAAATATCATTGCGTGAACATCGGATGAGTTCAATTTGGAGAGGAGATGGGCAGTTAGTTGCAAGAAATCTCATTATTTTGTGAGTTCTAAGGGGATCTGTTTTGGCCTGCATGAGGCAGAATAAACCAGTGGCCTCTAAGACGCCCCGTGAACTATTCTAGTTTCTTGTGTCTTTCCATAAGGTACTCAGGTACAGAGACTGATGAGTGGTCTACCCGCTACTCCACATTCCGAATAAAAGTGAACACTGAGACAGTTGAAGAAGACGTTAAATCAGCCTGGGTTGGACGAAGAGTCTACCCAGTTTGATATGGCTGAGGAAGAATACACAATGGAGGGCCCTAGTGGTCACGGCTGCAAACCAGCTACTGACTCTTCTGAGAGTATACCCTGTCCTACAATGCCTATCCCATTGCATATGTATAGTGCAAACGGCACAATTATGATGACTGCTGTGGATCTGCTTGCGTCCTGCCAACAGATGCTGATGGCTACGCATCAGGATTCTCCCATCAACAACAGTGGTGCCCCTGTAAATGACTCGAAGCAGGAGGTCCGTGAATACCAGAAGGAGTTGAGGCGTCATTAGAGATGAAAAACTGTGACTACATCCGATGGACCCAACTATCATGCGTGGAAGGTTGAGATCTTGGCGGATGTGAAGGTTATTGATGAGACTGATATTCGATGAAAAACCAGCACACAGCGCCTTCAGATGTGACAGCCTTGGAAAAGGAGAAGTGGATAGTCTGCATGAAAGCCTTTTATCATAGTATGTTGCAATCCCTCCTTGAACCTGTTCAGACGACAGTTGAAATATTGGAACCTAACAATAGTACGGCTCTTTAGCAGAAAATAAGAGAATTGATGACATTGCACACTCAAGGGATTGACTATCTCATATTTCAACGGAAGTATCATTGTCTTATCGTAAGGCATTAGGAACTGTCTATCAGCGCGGAGGACTTCTTCCATGATATGTTCCTCCATTCATGAGTGAATGTTACCTACCTACCAGTTGGTTACACGGATTCTGATTCGACACAACCATTTTTATTACTCGCATACGCAGTTGAATGAGGAAGATTAATTTTTTTTGAATTACAATCCCACAGAGAATATGGCGGCTGATGTTCTTTTGAAACATCCATACATGGTAGCTTTTAGACGTTTCTACAAATTGCTAGGGCTTACGGGCGAAATGGGGGGAAAGTGATGAATTTTCGTATATTGGGATTCCGCACGGCGGTGCGTGCCAGGAGGTTGTTGCGGCGTAGGCGAGCGGGCACCCCGAGCGGCCGCCCCGTACGTGATTCCGAGTATAGTTATAGGCTAATTATCCATCTTTCCCTCCAATATAAAATCAAACCATCCCACACTGTTTCATTCCACTAACTGAGACACTTCCCTACGCGATATCACTTGTATATTAGTTAGATAGCAAGTCTTCTCATCAATGAAGAATCAACCATCTCAACAGATTATAAGATCAAATTGCATGTTTTGAGATAAAAATATGATTTTTATTTAAAATTTTATTACATTAATAGCTATTGAATGAGTTTAATATTGACTTCATAAAAGAAGACTTTTTTTACAATAAAATTAGAAGATTTTATAGAAATTTTATATGATTATAAAAAGTGATTATATTTTCTAAAGAATCAATATAAAATATTAGTTTATTTTTAAATAAGCAGATTATTTTTTACTTCTTAATTAGAATAAAAGAAATTTTTATATTATTATTTTAAATTTTAAAACTTATTTTTTTAGTATATAAAGAATAACTATATAATTAGATATCAAAGTTCAGCTTAATAAATAAAAAAGAAATTAAAAACATATTAATAAAAAAAATAATGAAAGTATAATAATATATTTTTAAAATTACTTACTATGAATAAACTAAATATTAAAAATATTAAAATAAAATTATAATAAGTAAAACTATAAATATAAAATTAAATAATAGTTAATTATTAATTTTTAAAAAAAATTTAAAAAATTTAATTTAATAAATAATTTATTTAAATATTATTAAATATTTAATTAAATTATAAAAATTATATTTATTAAAGTTTTTATAATATTTAAGTCTTCTTTATAAAATATAAAATAATTATATTTAAACTTTAATTATATTATAAAAGATTTTTTTTATATTTTATTAAAATAAACTTTTACTTTAATTTTATATTTTATATATTAAAGTATTTATCTTTTTTTTCTTAAAACTTTTTTTATTTATTAAAATTTAATTTTTTAATTTTAACATAAGATTAAAAAATAGTTTTTGAGTTATTTTTAAAATTTTAATATTATTTTTATTGTTAAATTTATTTTTTTATTTTTTAACTTAACTTTTTAAATTATTTTTTAAATTAATTTATAATTTTTTTAGATTTTTTTTGAATTATATATTTTTAAAATTTTTAAAATATTTTAATTATTAAAGAATATTCAAATATTTTTAATATTTAATTTCTAATTACTAATTTTATTAACTATTATAAAAGTTTTTTAAATTGTAAAAATTTAGTATTAAAAATCTTATATTTTTTAAATTTTAAAATTATATCTTATAATTAAAATTTAATTTATTATATATTAAAAGTTATATTAACTTTTAAATATTTTTATTTATTTTTTAAATCATCTGAATATATAAGTAATAAATTTATTAATTATTTATAATTTTTAAATATATATATAATTTTTTCTTCATTCTTAGAAACTTTATAAATAGTAAGATTTATTAATAAATATAGTTTTTTTTATTAAAAAGGTAAAAATTTAATAAGAGTTTAGCGTATTTAGCATAATTATAGTAACTAAAAAGCTCATTCAGATTCAGATATAGATATAGATATGAATATAAATAGAAATATAAATATAAATATAAGATTTATCTACTCAATTCATAGAGCTTTTTGAGGAAAAAAAGTTTAGTATTATATTATAACTCAATCTAAAGTCAAGATGAAAGCTTTAACTCATTTATCTAACTAGTTAGCTATGATAAAAATACTAAACTATAATCAATTCTAAAAATATAGAAGAAACAAAAAATTAATAATTTTAATTCTAATTAAATCAGAAAAGAAATATTAGTTTTTAATAAGAAAAATTATAAAAAATATATAATTTTTTAAATTAAATTACTAAAAACCAATTAATTATATTTATGATAAAAGAAATTTTTCTCAACATAACTAGAATATGACTTAAACTCTTAAGATTAATGTAAAAACAATAATTATATTTTCATTTAAAGAAAAAATAAATTTTAGCAGAATTTTTCTTTTAGCTTATATACTTTTCACTTTTTACAGTTAATTTTTCTACTATATTTAAATAAATTTATATAAAAATAATATAAAAATATATTTTAAAATAAATATTATAAGTTAATGATAAAAAGTATATTTTTATTAATTATATTTAAAAATCTTATTTAAATTTTATAAAAATTAAAATATTAGTTGATTTCAATAAGAGCTTTTAATTAAGAATATTTTTGAATGAAAAATTAAAAAATTAATCAAATTTTATATATTATTTATTGTTGTATTTAATTTATTAATTAATTTAAATTTTTTTTTTATAAATTACTTCTTGTTAATAATTAATTATTTTATCTATTAAAGATAATTTTACTATAATTTTTTATATAATAATTTTTAAATAAATAATTTTTATAAAAACTTATTTTGATAATTTTAATATAATAAATTAATATTTAATTATGTAAGTAAGAGTAAAGATTTTAAATAAGAAAAAATCTTATAAATTAATATAGATATTAATGATAAAAATTATTAATCAAGTAAATTTATATTTATACTCATATTTATAAAGTATAAAATCTATATATATTTATATTATATAATAAAGATTTGTTAATATCTATACTTAAAATTAATATTTAATTAATAAAAAAATAAATAAAAATAAAATTATTAAAAATACTCATAATATTAAATAAAAATAAATATAAAAATAATTATAAAAATAAAAAAATTTATAATAATACTTGAGATAAAAAAACTAAATATTAAAAGAAGTATGAAAAACATTATAACTAATATTATAAAAAAGTAGAAATATAGATACTATAGTATTATAAAAAGAGAATAATAATAAATGAAAATATAAATATATAATTAAATAATAGCTAATTACTGAATCTTTTAAAAAAAATTTAAAGATTTAAAATATTTATATATATAAATAAGTAGTAATAAATTTCATCTTTAATCTTTTATAAAATAAAAAATTAGTAATATAATATTGATTTTATTCTTTAAAAAGTATTAATTCTAAATACTAATTTTTAATAAGCATTGATTATAAAGTATTAAATCTTGAGAAAATACTAATTTTTTAAATGATATTAATTCTTTATGAAGTGCTTTAGTAAGCAATATAAAAACAAGAAACTAGTATAAAAACTCTTAATATCATAGTTATTCTTCTCTTTTATAGACACTAATCTCAGTATCTTTAAAAAATATATATTTTTATATATTTATAAAGAAATAAAGTATTTATTAATATGAAGATAAAGATATAAACTGTTTAATGATATAGAAGTAAAAACATAAAATGTTCACTGATATAAATAATATGTGAGACTAATTATAAAAAATGATTATTAAAAAGTATTCATTGCTATGAGAATGAAGAGAAAATTCTTTTTTTACTCTTTTTAACTTTTTCTTTCTTGACAACTTTACAATTTATAACTCATAATATTCTGTACTGTTTTTCTTATTTCTTTTTTATCTTTACTTTTGCCATTGAAACAGAATCTATCTTTGCACTCTTTGAGTAAGCTTTTATAATTTTATCATATTTGATATAGCTACATGTACAATGGCAATTGATAGATATTTAGATTATGATTATTGATCATATAACTGACTTTGTCTTAGAGATATTCTCTGTGAGTAATGCTTGTTTAGACTGAGTAATTTATCTATGATATGTGATTTTTATCACTATGAAAAGCATTCCAGTCTTTGTCATCTTATGTATATATCTTTTATTCATGTGAGTATAGTGCATCTTTAGCTGCTCAGTATGATGATTAATTATTGCTTATCTAGCTTACACTCTCTTCTGAGTTGAGTTGACTGCTTGCTCTCTGAGACTTTTTATTTTTTGCAGAGTAAATGAGATTTGTGAGGGTCTGACATTATCAGATCAAGCTGCTGCATCTGATAACAATGTCGACAGCTTCCTTCTGTGCTGCTCATTCAGTGAAGGCCACTGCCTTGATTAGTGTTGCCCATTACACTCAGTGCTGGAGTGAGTCTGTTGGTACACTGATTGTGTTCTCAAAGAATGAAAAGTTAGTATAAAAAGTCTTGACATTACAAAGTTAATGATAAATTAATAAATTTTCTTACTTTTAATTTTATATCAACTCAGCAGTTGTTCTACAGTTATATGTCATTTGAAATATCATTAAAGTTTTAATAATATCTCAACGTCAATACCGGTTTCATAAGTGATAAAAGATATTTAATGATATGTAAAGTCATTTAAAAGAAACTTTAAAATGACTAACAGAAATCTTAAATAAGTTAAAAAGATAGAAGATATTCTTCTAGAATCAGAAGATAAAAATATGATGATTCATAATGTGCATTGAATTCTGAATCTCACTTTTAATATGTTGTTATTCAAAAAGCTAAAAGATCAAGGCTTCATTGTTTCGTATTTACTTTGTCATATTTCATCGTGCATGCTCTAAATGAAATGATATTTACCATAATGATTTTGTACACTATAAAGCTCCATTTATAAGATCGTTGAATGAGATTTGAAAATCAATGTACATCATTTGTTCAAAGTTATCAATCACATCACTCAATCCTACGATTATAGAGACGTGAGAGCGACAGTCAATGAATCTGATGATCAATCCAACAAATCAACTGTGTTCCCATGGAGGAAATATGACAGGAAGAATTACAAATCCTTTTGGTGTATAAACATTTTATCAACTTGTTTTAAAAGTTGTTAAAGCCAGCAAAATCTTTTATGCACGCCGAGATAAAATCTGGCACGGTGGTCCCCCGGCACGTGATACACGTGTATATTAGTTAGCTACCTAGAACCAATGAAGAACCTGTAGGACGTCTGAAGTGGTTGTATAGGTATCGGGGATGCTATATACTTGCGCTAGTCCATAGTTAATAGGAAGCCTAGGCTCCAACAGAACCAACCATCCCAACACTCTTTCATATTGTCCCTGTCACGAGATCTTGCCCAAGGCAGCGCGCTGCCCCTTTTACTCATATGAGTGGTTTCTCCGCGGCGCGCCGCTGCCCTATGACATGATAACGTGATTGACCACCAAACAATTTCCACCACCCAACAATTTCATAAATTCCAACCCAATTCTTCAACTTCAAACCTCATCATCATGGTCAATGAAGCTGCAATTCAGCTTGCAATTGAAGATTTAAGATCATAAGAATTTCCAAATTATAAGCAAACTGCTTTGAAATATAAAATCAGTCTAACTACATTGACACAGTGACATAAAGATAAGCAGATCTGCAGATCTGATATGACATTAAAATATCACAAAAAGTTAACCAACTCACAAGAAGAAACACTTATTCAGCATATAAATCATCTAGCAGGCCACGGCCTTGCTTCTACACCTCAAGTAATGCAAAATTTAGTGGTTAAATTCTCTAAAAAATCTGTTGAAGAGCATTAAGTATATTAATTTTACCTTCATTATAAAACTAAGCTGAAAAGTATTTATTTACATATAATTGATTAAAAGTAATAGATTATAGACAATTTTAACTACTTTAAAGGTTATTTCAAGCAAATTGATTAAGTATTTATTATCTTTTTCTGTCAGATTTACAGATTGCTAATAAAATGATTTTATTTCTAGTTAATTCATCTTATTATAAAATATAATTTTAAACTTTTAGATATTTACAACTATGATGAGAAAAAATTTCTAATTAAGTTTGAACATGCTACTAAGTATATTACTCTAGTTGAATTTCTGAAAAATAAGCATATTCCAGCAATTTAGAATAAAAATTGAAAATTCATCATCTTAGTTGCAGCTATTTATACAGATGATTCAAAAGTTCCTCTAGTACTAATATATAAGAAAAATGATATTTAGAATATTTGACTTAATAAATTTAAATTTGAAGATCAACAGATATATTTTAGTATATTCTCAAATGACTGAAACAGTGATGACTATAATTTAAAGTGATTGAAAAAGATACTTGATTCATATATAAAGAAAAGCAGCTGTAACTGATGCTTTTTTATATTAGATGATCATTCTTTTTATATTAATATGAAATTTATAGACTATACAGATAAGAATCAGATATTATTTATAGTACTTTTACTATATTTAACTTATTATTTGCAATTACTAGATGATAAGGTATTCATATCATTTATAAAGATCTATGTAAGGAAATTAGATTCACTACTATGTTAAGAATTTAACTATTATATATTTTTAAACATGATTTTTAAAGACTCTTTTATATAGCTTGGAATATAGCATTTATATCATCAAATTTACAAGTAGAATTTGAAGCTACGGAGGTTTATCTACTTAATTCTAACTAAGTGCTTAAGATATTTACTAAATAATCAATTACTTCTTCTGACACTCTTTAGTCTGCTATATCTACTACTGCTCATGAATTCTGCAAAGCTGTTAAACAAATTCATATATAGTAATCATTATTAAATACTAGTGTTAAACAAATTATTCATATTGATAAGAAGATTATTCTTGAGAATAAGCTCTTGCAAATCAAACTTAACAGTATAACTTAATCATTTCAAATAAAGCTACAGCAGTAAAAGTAAGATAAATCTCTTAAGTTATTTGATAAAGATAAATATAAGCAAGCTCTATTCTTTTCACCTAGTAAGATTGCAGTAGCTCATAACAATACACAGTGCAGAGCTTAACTATAAAATTCATAATAAGAAGATACTAGTAGTGATCTGAGTCTTGCAAGAGATGAGTAGAGCTGAAGAAGTTATAATAGATAAAATGATTAAAAATTCTTACTGATCATCATGCACTGAAATACTTTATGATTATTAAAAAACTAAATATATATCAAACTCATTAAGCAGAGTTTCTTTCTCCTCTTTACTATGATATTAAATATTGATTAGATAAGATTATCTTACTAATAGATATATATTAAGCAAATTTGAATAGATTAAAAAACAATAAAATGACTATGCAAATTTTTTAAGATCAATATTTCTTGATTTTTAAGTTATTTTCTTTATAAATGTCACTAGTATTGACTTCTCATATAGAAAGAGCATTGCAGAATACATATTATCTTTAAATAAAATTATCATCTTAATTGAACAACTGCAGCAGTAAACAGGTAATGAGAATAGTTTCTATACAATGAAAGATGACATGTTGCAGTATAATAAAAGACTAGTGATGCTCATTTAAAAAGAAGAAACTCTGATAGTTAAGCTGCTATAGGAAATTCATAATCAAGTTTCAACTACATACTTTGACAGATAAAAGACTCTTACTATAGTATAAATTTTGCTACTGATGAGTTCTCTGACAAACAGACATTCTATACTACATTCAAAACTATCATGTGTGTCAAATCAGTAAGATTCTGAGAGATAAGATCTCTGACTTGCTGAAGTCACTGTCGATATCAGAATGAGCATGACAGAATATTACAATGAACATCATGAATGTTTCAAAAAGCAAAACTAACTATGATATCATTCTGATTATAGTATGCTGAATAAGTAAGAAGACAATCTTTATTTCAATCAGCTGAGAGATTACAGTCTAGAAGCTAGCTCAGTTATTCATTCAATTCTACTGTGACGGGCCAACCACTGAGAACAGCCGATAGCTAGCGCGTATAAAAACAGAAAAGGAATCGTTAAAGGAGGAAGAAGGAACATAGATCTTGTGGGGGATTGAGCTCCCTCTTATAGGTAGCGGAGGTTCAGTATGAGGATTAGCGCTTTTGTAATAGGGGTTATAGGCGTTATACGGGTAGGAGGATATACGGATACACGGGTACACGGATAGGGGTTATACACGATAGGGGCAGGGGCCGCGTCGATGGCGCCATTTCGACAGTGTCTTGATAGCGCGAAGGCGTTAGCCTTTCGATAGTGTCTTGATAGCACGAAGGTGATAGCCTTCCAATAGCGTCTTCGATAGGGAGAAGGGATAGCCTGAGTATCATGGGGTTCTAGGGCGTAGCCCTTCATATCTACTACTCATACAATGAGGTATCTGACTCAATTGCCTCTGGCTACAGTCCTCAATTCATATCAAGTTTTTAAAATGAATTTACAAAAATTCTGAGCATAAAACTGAAACTCTCTACTGTATATCACATACAAACTGATGAACAGACAGAAGTCATAAATCAATATAACATCATCTGTCTTCATCTATATGTCAGTTTACTATCAGAATGACTGAGATGAGTGACTGCTCATTATAGATCATATCTCAGTAGCTACTTTAAACAATTTAATTGAAATTTCTCTCTCTCTTGCAGCAAATGAATATGAATTATAAATGTTGTTTAACTAGCAATCACTGTCAAAGAAACCCTACATGAATGAAAGAGAAACTGAGAAGAAGCTTAAAGCTTTGTTTATTGAATAAAAGAGATCTGAAATCAGACATGTGAAGATATAAAAGTAGTACAGAAATAGATGAAGAGGAAAATTAACAAACATCTTTAAAAGTCTGACTTTGTAGTAGAGATCTTTGTTTATTTAACATTAAAATCATATAAAATAAATTGATCAAGTTATAAGCTAGTAGAGCAAAATGCTGACTTTTTTAAAATTTTTAAAAAAGTAAGTAATATTTATAAATTGAATGTCTTCATAATGATAAAGATTCATTTAGTCTTCTTCTCAGACAAGTTATATAAGAACTCAAGAGACCCTCTCTAAGATTAGACTGTTAAGTTACTAGACTAAATTGAAATATACAGTAAGAATGAATAAGAAATAGATAATATACTAGCTAGCTGAATGAGTAAAGACAAGCTACAATATTAAATGCTCTAAAAGAAATTTAATAAAAATTTATCATAATACTTATTATTATTATTATTATTATTATTATTTATTTAAGATGTATTCAGTCAGTAACTATGATATCTATCTAGTTAAAACTAGAGTTTAACTATTTTACTAATTTAACTAATAAATAATAATCAATTCATAAACTTATAGAGTTTTATCTCAGAATAGTATAGCATTTAATAATCTTTTAATAAAAAACATATTTATAATTTTAACTTTAATTCAGTCCCTTTTTCAACTTAAATAAATAATAAAATAAAATAAAATAAAATAAAATAAAATAATAAACTTAATGTAAAAAAATCTTAATAAAAGTATTTTTAAAAATATTCTCAACTTTTTTATAGATTAAATATCAAATTTATTTGATATTGAATTTTATTCTCTAGAGGTAATTTTTATTTTTTCTATAAACTTAATTTAAAACTTTCTTCTTAATTCAATAATAAATAGAAAAATTATATTTAATTGATATAATAAAGTATTTTTCTTTTAGTTTTCTTTTTTATTTTATTATTTAATAAGCAATTCATCAGTATATGATCTGAATTTTCAACTATATCATAAAGATTATATCTATCAAAGTTTAAATAATCTTTAATTTTTTTTATATATATATTTTAAAGTAGTTATGTTCAAGTTTTAATTATATTATAAAGGAAAATATTTTCTTTTTGCATTTTATTGATGTAGATTTTCACTTTAATTTTATTTTATATCTTACATACTAAGTACTTTTCTTTTCTTTTTCTCAAATCTGTATCTATTTATCAAGATATAATTCTTTAAACTTTCTTTTGATATATGATCAGAATATAATTCTTTAAATTACTTTTTAAGTTTTAGTTTTAATTTTTATTGCTAAATTTACTTTTTGTTTTCTAGAATATCACTATGAGTAGATATTTAAAATAAGTGAATTTAAATATTTTTATTTTTAATCTTAATTCTTTCTACTGTTCTTTGAATTAATTCAAGATTTATCTGACTATTTTGAGTTTTATATTTTTAAAGTCTTTTTAATACTGTTTGACTATCTGAAAATATTCAAATATTATTAATATTTGCTTTCTGAGAGATCATCTTATAAGATATTATAAAAGCCTTCTGAATTGCGAATAATTCAATGTTAAAAACTTTATATTTTTTTTCTAAATTTTATGAAAACATCTTATATTTTAAAAATCTGATTCAGAATATTTAACTGCTATATGAGCTTTTTAATATTCATATTTACTTTTTGAACCATCTGAGTATATCAGTAATAAATTCTTTTTATTTATTTTAATAAGCTTTTGAGTATATGTATTTTTTTCCTCTTTTTTTGACAGTTCATTAATAGTAATATCTATTAATAATCTTAGATTTTCCTTTCAAGAATAGAGCTTATTATGATTTATACTTTCTATATTTAAGTTTAATAATTGATATATAATCATAATACCTATTCTATATAGCTGAGAAGATAATATTTTCTTTAAGTTACTAGAGTATTCATTCTAATATAGAAATCATTCTCTATTTAAGTCTTTTTTAGATATATCTAGAAGATATGAAATAGATATTCTCATTTAAATTAAATGATTTGCATTTATTTTCGTAATTTTTAGAGCATAATTTATATAGCTTTTATTAAATCTAATAGTTAACAGTGGAATTAGTGCCTCTATTTCCATAGCTCTAACTAGAGATGTTTTAAAAGCTTCTAAAATCCTTCTTAAAGCTTTATTCTATAATAGTTGAAATTGATTTATAAAGTTTTTTTGCTCTTTTCATTAAATCTCTACTGTATAATCTGATACGGAAGTTGTATAAGCTCTTTATAATTATCTTATTGCTTGAAAAGATAAATCTTTTTCTATATTAGAAAGTCTAATAATACTATTCAAAATTTTCTCAGTCTCAGTAATTCTTTTCTAAATATAAACTTTAAAGTTGAGCTTTGAGTCTAATCATACTCTCAGTTATTTTATAGAAGTTTTTAATTTTATAACTTTATCTTGAAGAGTAATAGTTTTCTCTTGTTTATTTTTTTAAAATAAAAATAAATCACTTTAGTTTTATTCATATTAAATTGAATAAAATTTTTACTTTTTTTCAAATATTTTCTTTATAGCTCTTTTTTATATTTTTACAATTTTCTTGTATAGATTTAGAACTAGTAATAAGCTTAATATCATCAATATAACTGAAAGTTCTTATTATATATATACTTTTATTCTTGAATAAATTAGCTATATATATAGCAAAAAAAAAAAATAGATAAAACTGAAGATTCTTAAGAAATTTCTATTTCAATAAAGGTTTTTTTTCTATTTTATTATATTAAAGAGAAGATGAATGCTTTTTTTTTATCATAAAACAAATAACTCATTTTACTAGAGA